GCAACTCTGTGTATCGGATGATTGTTGCGAGTTGCGTACGCATCCTCCACAGTATCGTCGAAATCTGATGGAAAAAGAAATTTCACGTCAAAGCAGATGGAAATTTTACGAAATTTCTTTTGAGAGTGGGCTCGAGCAACAGTGAAAGGAAACAAGAGTGCTCGCTCGCTCGCCACCACGGCGGCGGAGTCAAGCTTTTGGGTTCGTTTGCAGGGCGCGCGTGTTCTTGTGTGCACTCCGCATCGGGATTGTGCATGCACCTGCATTTATGAGCGCACGCGCGCACCACCCCTCCCCTCCCGTCAGATCCTCTCGTTCCGGGATCAATCCTCTCTCGGCGACACGAAAATGAGGCATAGGTACCTTCACTCGGAGACAAACACGGCTCGTGTTACTCGAAAATACTCAGCCGTGCGACGCAATAACGCTAATTTACATTTTTAGGGAACAATGTATCATAACAGAAAAACTTGTGCACCTTGGGACAATGTTATAACAGAATGGAGATGCTGCATGTGTGAGGAATTTGCGATTTGACTGTTGATTCTTTTGTAAAAGTTCGCGAGAAACACGATGGTGCCACTGGTTTTCTCTGAAATCATCTCCCAAGCTCAATAAAAGCTCTCCAGTTGAGGCCAAAATGGAGGGAATATCCCACGCTATCCTGAGAGTCCACCTCTACATCAAGAAAAACTCTCCATGCAAAGATAGGGAGCAAATACATTAGCAGGGCTGCCGTGTTTTCAGTTTTGGAGTCCCCAACTAAAGTGGCAGCCCTGTCAATGTATTTGCTCCCTATCTTTGCATGGAGAGTTTGTCTTGATGTAGACGTGAACTCTCAGGGTAGGGTGGGATATCCTCTCCATTTTGGCCTCACTTTGAGAGCTTTTTTTGAGCTTGGAAGTTGATTTCAGAGAAAACCAGTGGCACCATCGTGTTCCTCGCGAACTTTTACGTCAGATTCAACAGTCAAATCGCAAATCCCTCACACAAGCAACATCTCCCATGCTTTCGCTACCACTATGAAGAACTTAACCTAAAAATTTGAGGGCCATGGGTAAAACAGTTTTTATTTTAAGAAGTGTTAAGTTCCAAAAACGAGGGAAAATCTTGCTGGATTTACGGCGTTCTTGCTAAGCACGGCAGTACTAGAGTCCATCTATAGAGAGAGTTTGGACAACGCGGCTGATGGATGTCGAAAAATCCGCAGTCTTCGCCAATATCGGCCCTCAGATCGATGATTAGGCCGAAAGAATTGGACCTAAAAAGATACGGGAAATGAGCAAATCTTGATTGATTGCAAATCTGATGCATTCCGTAAAAATATAGACTGACGGAACCCGTATTTTGGGGCAAAAATTGAATTTATGTGTGGATTTTTGTACATTTCCAATACCCAAATTAAATGACTATGTTTTACGCGTTCTTAAACGAGCTACTATACTGACCGCGTGTTCGAGGCCCGCACAACGTCTCTTTCTGTCTCTGGCTACGACTTTATCGGGGATTCAAGCGTGATCCTCCGTTTAAGGAGAAGAAAAAAAAAAAAGAGGTCGAAAAGGAGAAACGAGAACAGTGCATGTTAAGCCGACGACGACGGTTCATTTCAACAATGCTGGGTTTAAAATAGCCACTTTCAGTCAAGCTCAGAAGTAAATTTAGGTGCTTGGGCATTGATTAAATGAGTTTTTTTCACGATTTCCCCCCTTGCCTCTCCTTAGGGGCAGCGTGGCTTCCACGACCGCTAAAACCGTCACTTCCAGACTACAAACTGTTCCGGAACGCCGTGTGAACTTTGGGTAAAGTTGCGAACAAAATTACCTGAAAAATGGGAACAGGGTGTCTACTAAAACGGGCTGGCCAAAAATCAGTACTTTTCCGATACTTTTTCAGTACATTTCCAAGAAATTCAGTGCCTAACATCCGGTGTTTTTTCAGCGCTTCAAAATGACGAAATTCGAAACATTTCAAAAATTTGATATTTCCCGCTCATATTGCGGCAAGTACGACAAAAAATGAAAAAATTCCGGACCTACTTTCGGAATTCCCTCACCTTTTCAGTACCTACTTCCGGACAGGCCCTTAAAAAATCAGTACTATTCCGGACTTGCAGATACCCTGGCGACGGAAAATATGCATGCGTTTACCACGAAATTCGTGTTTGATCAGAGGAAATTTGGCAACGCCTGAAGGTTCATACGGCGTTTTTCCATAGCACGGCAGTAAAGGAAAGGGGCCCGATTGCCAACCCTTCACCGGGTTTCGTGCGGGCGCTGCTGCGACTGCGAGGCGCGATGAAACCGCATAATGAGAACCTCCGATGGCGGGCGCACCAGAAGGGGGGAGGGGGGGAGGCGCCCTCCCCGTTGCTGTGGCAACACTGTTGCGACCGAAAATACAACACTTTCGCCCGCCCCTCCCGCCTCGTCTGTGGAGGGCCCGAAATGGCTCTGCTCGATTCACTCGATTGTTATTTCATAACAGGTTTATCCCGCGTCGCGACGCTGCTCCTGTCAATGAACGCCCAACGCGAAACGGACGGCGCACAGTGGACCGGGTCAATTGGAGAGGTCGGACATGAAATTTTTAACCAAAACTGCAAATTTTGATGTTTACTTCGTCACATTTTAAGTTTCAAAGAGTGCTTCCGACAGAAAATTTTACGAGAAAACCAATGGAACCACTTTTAGAGCCTTAAAATTTTGTATCAACAGAATTATAAGCGGTTAAAGTTTCCAAATTTAGTCCGACCTTTCCTATTGACTCGATCCACTGTGCGGCGGCTATGTAGCGATGCGACGTTGCCGCGGTGTGCGGAAATGGGAAATTTAAAGTCGTTCTTGGATTCAACAAAATTTCCGTAACATGGTGCCTAGCAATTTTCAAAATAAAAATTCCCTGACATTTTCCTGATTTTCCTGACAGAAACGACCAAAATACCGGGGAAAAATTCAAAGTTCCCTGACGGAAAAAGTAATTCACTGGCAAAAAGGAAAAAATTCCTAATTTTTGACACGTTCGAACTGATTTGATGTAAGCGAGAATTTTTTTCACGTTTTAAGAATGTAATGTACTTGATAAATAGAGCAAAATATGTGACGCCTAAACTTATGGGAGGTATTGTTGCCTCATTTTTAAAATTTAAAAGGTATCAGCAGAAATTTTGGTCAAAATTTTCTCAAGAGTAAAATTTGCGAAACACTTTCCGAAAAATCCGTGTTTTTCGATTTCCCTGACACGAAAATCCCTTGCAAAATAAAATTCCCTGACAGACCGAATTTTTGCTGATTTCCTGATGTTTTCCCTGACACCCAAAAAATTCCCTGACATTTCCAGGTCACTAGACACCAGGCACAATCTCTTGATTTCCCAAGACCCCGACTTTACTTTGACTTCTCTTGCTCTTCCCTGTCTCCAGAGTCCGTGTCTATCTAGCTTGAGAATTCTGGGGTGCCTATACATTTTCAGGGCCCCTTCTCATTAACCAAAGATAGGTACTCTTTTAGGTAGGTTTTTCAAGTTTTGGGGGCCCCTGAGCCACCTGTTATATTACTGGGGTGTTGAAGCACCCTAGCACCCCTGGCTAGACCACCCCTGTCCACAATTTCCAAATACCCTGCCTGTCCATTAGTCTCGAACAATATTCCTCTTCAGAATTTTTTCTTTCGATTATCTGACTTCTGCTAGAATATATCTGCCACGCTAATGAATGCCATGCAGTATGAGCCTATAGACATTGCCAAAATTTCGGAGTTTAAATAGGAATTTTTAGGGAACCTTCATGAACATTTCTCTTGCAATGTTGGGAAAATTTTGTTCACTTTCACACCTAAGTTAACAGAAAATTTCGAGAGAAATATTCAGGACCCTACTAAAAAATGAACAATTTATCAGAGGAAATTTAGCAACCTTCAAATGTACATACGGCATTTTCCCTAAGCACTGCAACAAGGACAAGATGTCCGCAACTGAAGTTTGATGATAAAAGAAAAATCCAGTTGGGGTCTCCAAATTTCTCATTTAAACAATGTTACAACGAAGGAAAAGGCCAATTCAAAGGGGGACAAACTTATTTTATTCCTCCCTTTTTTACTTGGTGGGTCTACTGGGAGAACTGATTGGGTTATAAATTTTGATTAGAACTTAAGAGGTCACTTAGATTTGGGGGAAGGCTTGAAACTTCAGGCACCTATTCGCCACTTCAACAAAGTAGCTTCTTTCTCAACATTTGATGCATAGAGGACTTGAAGATCTGTCCTCCCTTCATTAAGTCAAAGTAATGTAGGATGCAGCTAGGCCTCCTGTTACAAATTGGATGTTACTCGAGTGCCTGATACAATTTCATCTTCTCATTACTCCTACTCCAAGTTATGCCTAGGGTGATAGCAGATATTACCTACGATAAGGTAGGGTCTACATATGTCAACAGGGCATGTGAAGGGGAAGCAATGAGCAACTACCTTCCACATTACTCTGCGAACATGTCACAGGCACAGGACATTTCGTATGTAGGTGTACCAAAAGCTAACTTCACTGGGTTGGATAATGCAGAGAATCGCAGGGTAATAGATCGGAATTTGTGGACGCGAATGACTCTTGAGGATTAAATAATGCTTAAACTGGGCCTTAACTGATAACCTCAACTTCGGAGATTATCAATTAAGCTGGAAGCAAAGCTACTTAGCATTGACTTCACTGCTAATACAGGTTAAGAAAACAAGGATGGAGAACATTCATGGAGAAGCGAGGGATGACGAAAGATAAGGATGAAGGCGTAGCTGCTAACAGCGAAAATTTTCAGCGATCAGCGGCAAAATCTAGTGATAAAAATGCCGGTTGCATGAAGCTTCTGACACACCCCTTCCAGCTATGCGAGTTCCGACTGTGAACACGATCAAGCTTGAAGCACCAAGGAAAGGACGCAAGTTCGAAGGAGAGGAGAGTGATATTATCACGGACGTTACCGTAGGCAGATCGAAAGTTTAAAAGGTAATACTGACCAAAACATGAATAAACGTCGGCAGGATGGGTATTTTGTCCTCTGTAATTCCACTTTAACTTGACAAAACTACAATTTTCACCACAGCACTACACGACACTCCAACCCAGCGACCGAGCAACTAACATCCGCGGCGCGCTCTTCCCGTATGTAAACATCCTCCCTTTTCTTCTCCGATTTCAAAATGGCCGCTATCATTGTCACCAACTTGATGAGATCAAAAAGGGTAATATTAATTTATATTCGTTATCGTTAGTGGATTTTCAGTTACCTTGTGTCTGATTTTAAACCTTAAATTTTGTATTTAAGCATTTGGCTACATTTTTTCGGGCTAGAGGAATAGTATAAATGAATAATAACGACTCAAAGAAAACAAAAAAATCAGTTATTTTGTTTCAATGTTACTTACTTGGATGAAATGGATTATACGAATTTTGCCCGCGAAAGTCAATTACTGGGGCTTGGGTTGCACAAGTGAAATAAAAAATGTGAAAGACTGGACATTTCCATGAAATATTCCATGAAAATTCTCCAAGTTGTGAAAAAAAAGAAAAATATGAATTATAGTTACAGGCAGGAGTATGCAACACGCACTAAAAACATCAAGCAAAGACCATTTGTCTTTCATTTAATGTCAAGAAATATTTTTCAACATCTCTCATTTTTTTTAAGTATTATGAAATATTATGTTTGAAATTTCATAATTTAATTTATTTTTTTTTTTTTCTAATAAATTTATTGAAAACTATCACAAAGGATATTACATTCATTGCTTCTACTAATAATTAATAGAGGAGGGAATAAACAACAGAGTAGTTTATCTTTCATATACTATGTAGACCGAAGTCTCGTGAGAATGACTCCTGAAGTCCACGCCCAACAAGAAGCGCAACCCCCCGCACGCAGGGAGATAATTTAATTTATCATGAAAAATTGCAACCCTGCCTAGGGTAGCCAACAGCGTTCAAAACTCACAGGCGCCGACGCGCCAACAATGAGGCCTCTATAAATTGCCCCTCCTCCCTCCAAAAACAAATCCCAATTTTTCTGTTTGGTGATTTTTCGAAATTTCCCCCAAATTACAGTTATCAGTTCTGTAACTAAAACATCTTGCGTCTAACTTTCCACTAAATGCGCTGTGATATATGAACAAAGAGTCAGTTTGACCCCTAAAAATCTTCAATGGCCCCTAAAAATCAATCTTGATGCGCCACATGGCTCCTGAAACTCAAAGGTGAGTTTCGAACACTGGTAGCCAAGCTTTTTCGCTTTCACCAAAGATAAGTAAGTATGCACTTATGGTAAATCACAAATGTGACTTCGATACTCAACCACTTGCAATTTTGACTTGGGTTTTTTTTTCAAAAAATCGGATCGTCAGGTGATAGACTTATATTTCAAGTGTATATGATTAAATTTTGAAGTTACTTAGGCCAAAAATAAAGTCAAAAGCATGACCGAAAAAATTGTATGGATCCATGACAACAACTGCTTGGTACAATTTAAAAATTTGATCGAACACTAATCAGATATACCGTAAGATCTCGATTTATCATGTATTACAGGACTGGCGAATCAACCCGATAAATCGCAAAAGCCGTTAAATTGCCATCTGATAAATTGAGGTCTTACTGTTGATTGACCTCTTGATCATCTTATATTATCGAAATCACCCAGGTGAAACTCGTCTTGGTCATGTATTGGTATGTTATGATATACAAGCCCTGGATTCACCTTAACGCAATTATAAAATTGAAGCCATGAAAAAAGTGTTTAAGTTTTACATGCAAAAGAGATTCTCTTCAATTGTGCTCATAGGTTGATTGGCAAGAAAAAAATGTTGTAAATAAAAAATTATACAACTAATAAGAAAGGTATGATGAAAATATTTATTTTCATAATTATAAAGCTTAAAAAATATGTGAGCTTCTAAAGCACCTCGAAAAATATGACAAAGTTAAAACATTAGAATAGTAGTATTAGCTGGAAAAGGAGTATTACAAATTGATAAAAAATTGTTTGTGGATACAAAAAATTAAGGAATGATTCAAACTGTTACAAAAATTGGAAATGTTGTATGAAATGTTATCACGATGAATAGTATCAAAATAGAATCCAAAAACAAGTTCTATTTGCTGGCTTTTGAAATACTCTGAATTTGAACAATTTCTTTGGGTTGGAAAGTGTAAAAAAATAGAAGTATGTTCACTAATATAGTACCATTTGGATTGAATTTCTCAAAAAGAAACAAAGAGTATTCCAATGTACCTTGATTGTGCAACTATTTTTACCTTGCAAATATGAACTGATCATCTAAACAAAATACATACAAGACAACAATTGCCTCTGTAATTTTAATTTTTTGCATGATTTCATTGTTTTCATTGCAAAGAATGTAAGTTGCAGAATCCTGGCAACATTTAAATACTCTTGATTCCTTTTTTGCAAAATGCAATCCACTTGACAGTCTTGATCAAGAAGGATGATGCCTGAAAAGGCATTGAAAGTGAGAGAGATGAAGAATTGATGAAACGTTTATGATGTTTTTCTCCTTTTTGCAGGGCGCTGAGAGGAGGGATCATTTTCTTTATTCTGAGACTGGACTCTAGATCTGTTCCCTTGTGAGGAAGCTGTGGTATTGTTTGACACATCATCTTCCTAAAATCAAGAAAAGAAAAACAAATAATTTTACGTACCCTGGAGGAGAAATTCTTAGGAACTTAAAGTAAAGATGATGAATTTGAGTTGTGTATAAAAAATAAGTTCTAGATGTTTTTTATCAAAATTGAAGCCTTCGATAAATTAGAAAGATAAGTGACATTTTGCAAAAAAAAGTTTAAACTTTAATGAATTGACGCAGAGCTGAGCAAGCAGAGTTGCAAATGGAGTTTTTAAGGGCTATGTATTGGCCACGGTTGCTTTGAAACAAAATTTTTAATAAATCAACAATATTTCAATTTTTTCAAAAGATTCCTGCATTTTGATGGCGAAACGTATTTCGTCTGTGATGTTTTAAAATCTCCGCTCCTATTTCATATTTTTGAAGAAAAACAAATCTACATCATTCCTAGAAGTTTTTACAACGATTACTTTGCACAGAGAAGAACAAGTACGGAAGTTTTAAAGAATTGACGTTGAGTAGTTCTCCATTGAAAAGATATAGTATAACAGGAAGTCTGCAAAGTCGCAAACCGAGATACGTCGTTTGGGAGTTTCACCAGCGATTTTTTTCATTCACAAAAGGTTTCCATTATACTTCTGTTGAGTCTAATAAATCTTTATTGAATCACTCTGTTTCAATTTTCTGATCATGATTCCTGATCTGATTAAGGAAGATATGTTGTTCTGAAGTCGTTTCATTTATCACATAAGATAATTCAACTTAAATTGAACTCAATTAAATGGATTAAAAACGCCAGCTTTAAGGAAAGTTTTTGCCTCCCTTATTAAAAACTACTCCATTAATTTGCATTGAATCATTTCTCAATGATAGTGAAGTAGTAGAGAGGCAAGTAGTTTTCGCTTATTTTCAGTCTTTTTGGTCTTAGCTTTCTTAACTTTTTTAATTGATGTTGTGGAATTTCTCAGGAAAGTCACTTTGAGTGAACATTTGAAAAAGGCACAGGCAGACTGGAGTAAAAATGAGCGAGACAGTCAAGTGATATGATGCTTTAAAAAAACTGGGACTTACTTCATTCTCTTCATTTTGTTGGTTGAGAACTTCTTGGCACTTTTTGACGTTAAGTCTAAAATCTCTGGTAACAGTAAGTTTCAAGTTGAGTGATAAGGCAGTATCCTGAATTAGAACAATAAAACAATGCAAGGAATTAGTACATTGTTAAAATTATGTGCTTTGATTCATTACGAAGTTCCCAAATTCTTGCATGATAATTTCATTTTCATGAAAATGAGCTGATCTATTGCCTATATTCTGAAGTGTCCGAAATCCAAAACACTCCAGGAGAAGAAACAGATAATATTTTCAAATAATCCGTTATTCTTGCAGACAAATGTAAATACATTTTACGGAATTTCAAAGTCCAAATTTAATGGTCAATACTACTAGAGTAGCCAAGTCAACTTTCTGTAAAACTTGCCGAATTATTGTGTTGTGTTTACAACGGACATGTTAATGACTAGACCCATAGATAAACAATGATACAAGAGAAAGTTTTTGCACAAAAGGAGAAAGATACTAGACAATGCATCTTCATGAGAGTAAAAATTTCAACTGGAAAAAAGTTTACCTTGCTTTTGGTGCTTAGGTTAGTGACATACTGTTGAAAATTTTCAAGCTCAGCCACCAGCTTAGGAATGAAAATGGTTTGCTTCTTGGCAACATTTTTCAGTTTTGCATTGGTTGTTGATTCCTGAGATGAGAGAAAAACATTAGCAATAAATAATAATTACTAGATAACAAGGATGCAGTTAGAAAAAAAGGACAAATAGGGACCATTCAATTTTGCGCTGTTGATACTGCTTGATCTAACAAATTTTCTGTTTGTCAGTGAAATTTTAGGCAATAATTTCTTGCACCATGATCACATCTATTATCTACACTATTTTAGCTAATTAAACCAATGCTCCCTGTTTTTTTCCTTTCTGATGAAAGACATCCAACAGTATCTTGTCTGGCGTTCAAGATGAACCCATCATCTTGATGCATTCCAACTTAATGATGTTTTAGTTTAACTATGCACCAAAATTAGACAATAGGAAGATTGACATATGAAAATAACACTTCCCTTGCAGAAAAAAGGACCTGAAATTATTTTATAACACACATTCATGCTGTTACATCTCTACATTGACTTAGAAAATGAAATAAAAGCATTTTCTGTTATTGGTCAAGCTATAATGAGACTAGGTTGCACAAAAACAGTTGGACGGTGGACACATGGGTACTGAAGAGAGAGGAAATTTTAGATTCCTGACTACTCATCCCCTCTTTTTGTAATATAGACTGGTTTACGATCTTCTATGAAATAAAGCAAATGAGGAAAATACAGCCGAGAGTATCGGATGTGAACTTTGATGAACATAAAAAAAAACTTACCTCGATATGGAGAAGAAGGTCACCTATTTGAGATGATAGAGTCGATCCAGCGAGTTTGACTAATTTTTCAAATCTAGCAGAAAAGAGGCACAAATAAGTCAGAAAATATAACTTGATGAAATTTTGTGAATGTACGATTTGTGACAGAGAGATTAAGGTGTTTGAATAAAATTCAGAGGAGAGCTTTCTTCCCTTTTGCATTTTCATTTTTTCTGATTCAAAACAAAAATTATATTTTCCTGAAGAGTTGAAACTTAACAGTTATCATAAATGCAAAGAATTTACAGATATGCCAAAATAATACCTATATTTACTTCAAGTCAGAACTGACTCTCTCAAGGCTTAGCGATTTTTTGACTGGAAAAAATTTACTCTACTCAAAACCTCATGAATGAAAGGCCTTTAGGCGCTCAAACTGAAAAAAATAAACTTTGATTTAACATTATTTGATTAGAAATTTTGAAACAATGCGATGGAGATTTGAAGATTGAGTTAAGCTATAAAAAATTAGAATTGGAAAATTATCATACTTCGCAGTACGATGAACCAGATTCTGAGGTGTGGCGCGTGTGACAAAATGCTTAGTTAGACTAGTGATGACTGCATAGTAACGTGTGAGCATTTTGACTAGAATTTCTGAATTGGGTCCATTTGAAACTTGGACAGTGGAAAGTGAATGAGCGACAACACCTATTATCGCCAGCTGATGAGACACCTCTCGTTCTAGGATATTAAGAACTTCCTCTCCTGAGAAAATGAAAACATCAATTATAATAAAACACATTAGCTGCTAAACAGGTCCTAGTAATTGGCTTATCTTTTTTTTTCCTTTTTCAACCGATCATCCGACACTGGAAAGTTTTTAAGGGTAAATTTGATGAGAATAAAGAGTGCTCAAACTTCCATTGCTGAGTATGAAGATGGTGGCTGAAAGTTATCAAAAATAACAACTTCACAACAATAAATTGAAATTTAATAGCTATTCAATATTCAGAAGTTGGATGACAAAATGAATATGATCTGATAGTCAGTTCTTATTCATGGCAGGTTTGTATTTAAGAAAGAGAAAAAAACTGTGATTAAATCTGAGTTCCATTATGGTAAAATAACCATACAATTGTTAATAAATAGTCTATGTGCTACAGGCTACAGCCTGTTCAGATTTTTTGCTTCATGGGATCTCAAGTCAAATCAGTTTTGGTGTTTAATTTTTTCTGAAATGCGATTTTTCTGTTATTTTAAGACATTCGGACTTCATTTTGCAATTAGGAACTACAATTTTTAGCTCAGTTTAAAAAAACATACATAGCACTAGTTTCCCTATGCACATAAACGGAGACGCGCAATTTTGCATTTTGGCCATCAATATCTTCTTGAAGGAACTCCAAGGACCAGGACATTAAAATTGACAAACAATCAGCAATGGACCACTAGACAAGGTACGAATTTAAGCAATCTGATACATGTTTCTTAACCAGAATTTCACGTAGAACACGATTCACACTACGAAAATTACCGAAATCAACTTCTAACGAAGATATTAACGTTTTTATTTCGCACTGATTACGAGGAATTTGAACTGCCCGCTCACAAGAAACTCAAAGCTCTACGCGAGTCAAATCGCGCACGAGCAATGTTCATTTTCCACCATGTGTTGTTCAAACTATTGGTAATTTGCTATAGCTGAGCCAAAGTGTCAAGATTGAAGTTGAAGAGTTTTACATCCTAGAGACTGTCATGATAAACATTTAGCGCGCGATGTGAATCACGTAGAGCATTGAGTTTTCATGAGCGGGTGGTTTGAATTCACGCATCAAGAATCATTGAATATCTTCGTCAGGAGTTGATTTTGGTAATTTTCGTTGTGCGTATCGTGTTCTACGTGAAATTTTGGTTGAGAAACATGTATCAGAATGCTGAAATTCGTACCTTGTCTAGTGGTCCATTATTAGAAACTAAACAGGAGCAAATTAGATAAATGAAAAAATTGAACTTACTTGGTTGAGAATCAATTGTGGATATAGTAATGGGTGCATGGGGTAAGAGAGCCAAATGGGCTTTCAAAAGCGCGATGACACCATCAACATATTCGATTCGTTTCATTAAAGTCTCACAGAGTAGAGGCAAAATGAGGAGCATGTTACCCTCAGTAATCATTTTGAATTCTTTTCTAATCGTTTCAACTTCAGCCTGCCATCAAAAAAAAGAAGAAAAAAGAGATAAATGGTAAATGTAATACATTCTCAGCCGTTCTAAAAAATTAGAGAGATTGTTTAACAATGTAATAAAACGAATCAGCAGCACATAAAAAGCAGACAAAAGACCATTATTTGTTAATTAAGTTTCATACAGAGAACATTAAACACACCTAAGTTTCATGCAGAACACATTCATCATGACATAAGCTTCCAAAATTAACGTATGCTTTTGCAACTTATATCAGTATCGGTCTATTTATAAAACCAGTTTTGGACATGACTAGAGCTTGTTTAACACTTTAAATCCTCAACCTTAAATACACGGAGCTAGAAAACTTAGAAAAATAAAGAGGGGGAAAAAGGAGAAAAAAGCAATTTCCATTGCGAAACATACTCAGATTAGTTGAGTGCCCTATTTGACTAAAGTTGACTAACCCAACTTTGGTTTTCTGGTGGCAAATATTTTGGATTAACAAATCCAGCAGACACAGTTTCCATTCTGATTTTTTGTTACTGTCAATATTTCGACTTTTAAAATTGATGAGATAACGTAGGTTGCTATTTTCTCCCAACAGAGGGCAAAAAAAAGTATCTGCAACCAATTACATTCTAATATTCAGTCATTTTCTATCCAGCATCCCTGTCAAAAAATTTAAAATTTTGAAAATTGTCTGAGATTGCTAGATATTCCACCGATTTCATCTGGTCTTAAAAAATTTTCTGGCAAATCTGTTCCCAAGTTTTTTCAGTCACTGGCATCACTGTCATTTGATAATTTGAAACAGCAAAAAAAAGTATTTTAAAGGCACATGAAATGGGTTTCACCAGTCAATTTGAATAAATTGGGGAAGAGTAAAATGCTTAACTTACTTCGTTGATTGTACCAAACAGGGTGTTGAACTGTGTCGCAAAATTATCATACAGCAATGTTTCAGTCTTGCACTTATTGTACAATCGCATTAAAACATGGATGAATTGCTTGGCGTCTGTGATTACACTTAGTGTGTTATTCTCTGCAAACTCAGTTGCCCACTCTAAGGCCTAAATTCAGAGAAAATAACGTAAGTGATTACTTGCAAATTTTTTTTCTTTCTTTTGTCGAAACTCACAATAATTCAATTCAGAAGTGAAAAAATAAATAAATAAATGATGTTTCATACAACAAAATACTAATGAGGAGAAAATTAAACCTATTTAGTGTAGATGAACAACTATTTCTGGTGGGCTTAACCTTTGCAATTAATTGAGAGATTCTTGCTTGTATTTAAGCAAAAATTCATAGCCATCTGCTGTTCATGGTTTTCATTTACACTGAGAGACTCGGGGCATGAAACAAGCGGAATGAAAAGCTCACTGGAAAAATGAGACAAGAAAAACACACTTTAGGAGAACAGCTATAAAATTTTGTTGCATTGATTTCAAGCACTGAAATTTGGTGTAGCACATCAATAACAGTTTCTACTTTGTAGTAACACTGCCGTGATAATAAAAAAAAAACGTACAAAAATTCAAACATTGCCAAATTTTCCTCGAAAAAAACATTTGTTTTTAAAGAAAATTATGAGTATTTTTCCTAGACATTTTCTGAGACTTAAGATAAAAGTACAAAAAAGGTTTTGTAAAAAAAAAAAATGAAAAGAGAGCACTTGCAAACTTCCAAGAAAACTTGTGTTTTGTTAAAAAAAAATTTGGCAACGACTGAAGGCTTATACGGCGTTCTTCCTTAGCACAGCAGTACATTACTATAGAACTGGCAGCCAGGGCGAAGTTTGCTCGATTTTCTCTGGGATCCTCTTCGTATTGAGAATGGCAACTTAATAAAAATACAAAAAATCATGATTAAATAAATTACTTGTTCAGTGTCTGGGTTCACAGACAAGAAATGATTCGTCAGTACGGAAAGAGCAGAGACAGCTGTTTGCTCCAATTTCTTGATCTCAACATCATCATCTTCATCATCTGAATCTTGCTGTCTGATTATGAAGCGAAGAATCTCCTTATAACATTTTAGGATCATAATGAGTTGAACATTGTAATCATTGCTTCGACTAACATCAACTAGAAACACAGCATTGTAAATTAGAGATTAGTTGAATTTTGTAACAAATAATGAGTAAGATACAAAGTTACTCATGGCATTTCATGAAATATTATCACCAAAAGAGATTACAAACCACCAATGCCACCTCAACCACTGTTCTTGTGCATGGTACGTAAATTGTATTTATTGAAACCTCGCCACAAACCCAGCTCACAGTGGGTACCGAACTAAAGTGTAAATTTTTTTCCCTTTCATGAATTTTCTACAAGAAATGCATGTCAGAGGACCAGCTTATTACAGAACCTGTTCAACACCAAAATTTCATCACTGCCCTACTCACAGGTATCATATGAAAATGGGCGGAAAAGGTAAAAATTTTGGCGTTAGCATATTTGCATAAAAAATGAATCATGGGTATTTCCATTCTATTTTGTTCTAATAAGGGACGTAATTTTACAGTTTAATTAAAAATGATATTAAGCCCTGAACAAACAACATTGAAGGTTTAAATGATTTCAAAAGTGAAACTGCAGGAACGTGTATCTCTTCAGCAGTGTTTAAAAATCTCTGCTTTCATTTTATTTTATCAAAAGAGAATGAACCAGCGCTGTTGCTTGGAATTTTCACACAGAGACGGAAAAACAAGGAAGTTTCCAAGGAATGGCGTTGAGAATTTTCTCATTTGAAAAATAAAGTTGACAGATAGTTTGCAACATTGCAAACTGTGGTACATGTTTCTGTAGTTTCACTGTTGGTTTTTCCCCAAAACTGGGTATGTACTTTTTTCACAGCTGCAAAATTCAAACCGCCAAAATGCCTGTTTGATTTGAAGTTTTTAGATTAAAATCTTTGTAAGACACTCTTCTATGAGATACTACCATCAACTCAGTTTTTCAGGACTAAAATCGGTTTTTCTGTAGACAGTGGCTTACAAATTTAGAAGTAGCACTGTCAACTGATTCATTGTTCAAATCAACTTCTCACGCTTTGAAGCACCTTTTTTGTGGAGTGTCAGTTAATGGTAATGAATTTGTTTGTATAATGATATAATATTAAGTACCTGCTTCGGTTAAGAACTGCGAGAAAATGTTCAAATGATTCGTAGTGACGATGGTTACGATTTCTGACCAACATTCCAAACACATGGCAGCAGTGCCAACATCACTGATTTCGATCAACTCGTCCCAGGATGACAGACAATGCTTGAATAATAATCTGAAAATGAGGATTTGAAGTTAAATGCAAGAACAAAATGGATTAGTGTCATTAAGGTTACAAAATGCCTCATCAAAAGAGTAGATAGAACCCCATAAATTTCTGATTTTTCAGTGACTCAGAATGCTCTGTTTGCAGCTTTGCCGATGGTTTGCCAAGTCAAGCAATGGGTGCAATGAAATGTTGTCAAGCTATCTGTAATGAATCTATGGCTTTTTATTTACAGTGAGACTTCAATTTATCGGATCGCGACTTAACGGATCAATTTTCTCATCTTTTCAAGGGCTTTAATCCGATTCGAATTAACAGATTCAGTGATTTAAAGGATCGATTTGTCAGTCCATTGAAATCCAATAAATTGAGATTTTACTGTAGCTCTGAACATTACAATATTTTTTTTATTTTACGTTATCTTTCTATAATAGCAGCCTTTTTTCAGAAAACTAAACAATTAGGTGTAAACTGGAAAATGAGCTCTGAATATTCAGACTGATTTCAATCAGGCTAAAAAAGGTAAAAAAAACACAAGAATGAAAGCATCAATTCTGGGGAGAAAAACTTTGTCGGGAATGTAGTTAGTTTGTTACCAAAGCTCTACTAAGCAGAAACATGGTGAAAATTATAAAAGCGGAAACTTACTTAGCAATTTCACAGAACTGTTTAAAGTAGGTTCTAGATTTGCTTTCTGTTTTCATCCGCTGGATGGCATCTAGGGTGCTCTGCATTGCATATGCATGGAGAGGTTTTTTTGATCTTATTGAAGTGATTGCTTCATTTTCCGGGTCTGAATTTTTCCTGAAACCCAAAATCAGTTATACATTCAATTTTCAATTGAAAATTTGAAAAAAAATTGTGACGAAACAAGCGAAAAAAGCCGATTGGTAGATGATCCGTTTATAGATGGACCGCACTTCAGAATTGAAAACTACGATTTCTGGCTCATTTGTAAGAAAATTAAGTGCAGAGGGAAACTAATGGTACATACGTTGTTCCTAAAATGACCCAGATATTGTAGTTCCCACACTGCAAAATGCAGTCCAAATATTTAGGTAATACCTTTCCCAAGTACTCTAAGTCATGAGTTCATAAAAGTTGGGAAGATGTTGAGGGAGGAGAAGGTGCTATAAGTCAAATTAATAGGTTGTTGCGAGTGATTCAGGTGAGACCTCTAACCAAACCTCATTGGTTAGCTGCGCCCTTTATCATTCAAGTAGAGGGAACCGATTGCGCAACCACAACTAGAAAAGAACAGCTGCACCTACACTAGCAGACGATTAGTCGTCTCTCGCATTCAGGAATGCATATTGTCTGCACTGTTTGAGTACATATTTGTATGAATATTGAATATTTTATAAGTTCATGGGAGAACCATCGTAATATTTTAGTGTCTTTTCTCACTAATGTACAGAAAAATCACTGAAAATTTCAGGCGAATTTGTGTGACCATTCTCTTATATGATAAAAGTACTCATTCTATACTTCTTTAATGATAAAATCTTAGTAAAAAACACTAAAACAATACAATAGAAATACATTCCTCCAAGCCTAAGACAACAAATTAGGACATGTAGGAGCCATAAAGTAACCAAATGGGTACAGATGAATTCAATAGTAATAGAATAAGACAGCAGATGCCATAACACTGTTTGTAACTTTTGAGAAAGCGACTACTGGTACCCAATTAGCTTCAAGATGAGGACTTTTCATACAAAAAAGAGCAACCATTTGCTTGGAAGATTTGTTGTTACTGGTATAAAACTTACTTATACAACAGCGAGAGCAATTTTGAGCAAGTGCTGAGTGTTAGAATTGATGGTGGGCATTTGAATGGTTTGATTTTAACCTCTACGCCTCCTTCCTTATCTACCTTTTTTTTCCGGCCACCTTTCTCGCCATCTTTTTTTTTGCCAGGCTTATTGGATCTCTGCAAGGAACAGATAATAGCAGTTCTTAGAGATTTAGAGTTTTTAAATTAAAAAACAACAATCAAAATACAATACTCTCTTATTATAATGTTACTAGTTACAACAAAAAAAGTTTCTTTGACGAAAGATTTGCCTGACCTTTGCACTTTATAAGTAATTATTACAGCTTGTTCAGGGTGTCAACTGAAACAGGCTGGTCAAAAATCAGTACTTTCTCAGTGCTTTTTCAGTACATTCCCAAGAAATTCAGTACCCCCTTCAACAGAAAAATTCAGTACTTTTTCAGTACCTTCATTAGGCGAAATCCTAAAAATTTCAAAAATGTGAATTTCTCTTTCTAATTGCAACAAAAATTACCAAAAAATTAAAAAATTCCAGACATTTTTGCAGAATTTCCGCACTTTTCAGTTCTTCTGGACCGCCCTTAAAAAATCAGTTCTATTTCCGGACTTGTAGACACCCTGTTGTTATAAAATAATTTCTCTGAAGCAACATTTTTGTTGGTCATTTGCAGATTCATTGCAGAGAAAGAGTGCATACTATACACTAATCAAAAAACCAAAATCATTACCATCATCCAAATCATTTTCATTTCTTTCATAAAGACTGTTAATTTTATTGATCAAGCGAATTTCCCATGGGAAACGCAAAAGATAAAAAAATAAATGTTGATGATTTGGAAAAACTTGTATATGCTGCACTATTTATGAAGTTTCAACAATACATGAATATTTACATAGTTTTAAATTACATTCACCAACACATTCACCAATACATTCACATTCACCAATAATAGAATAATAAAATTTTCTTTGTTTTCCAAATTCACTGTTCGCACAGCTCTGGGTTGAAGATAACAAGATAAGCGACAAAAAAGTACTAGAATAGAAAGAGCAAAGCAGGCTGAAAGCTTACTTACTTTAACATAATCAACGATACGGTTGTAGCCTTTGAGTAAACTGCACAATTTCACCACATCTTCTTCTTCTGGATTGTCCTCCAAACGACCAATGATGTAACCCATAAGAGCCTCATGGCAACCGAGAATCTGCGTAACTTCTTCTTGTCGTTTCAAACTATCTGGCATTATGTCAAATAAATCAGAGTTATCGTCCTGAAATCATTAAAATATTTTTACGCTGTCAATATGTTTAAATCCCGAAAATGAGATTTTTAAGGGGAACAACGCACTCTGCATCCTAATTGTTCGATAATTTTCAAATAAAATAAAAAAGTGCGTTGATTCTAAACTCACGATATTACCGATGCTATTTCAAAAAGCTAGTCTACTGCTGTATCACATGCTCTTCCAGATTATCAGAGAAGCTTCTAACAAAGTTGGCTACAAACGAAGCAGCAGTGGAAAGGAATTTTTACAGGGTTGCAGTATGATTTTTTTCTTACGAAAAATTGCATAGAAAAACCAATGAGTTCATTAAAAAGTTCAAAGTAGCATTTTTAGGGGGAGAAAAAGCTATTAAAAATCCGACCAATCAAAAGTAAACTTGCCTGAAGCTGATTTTAGTAAACGCCATTTTTTTTTGTCTGGCTGCGTTGTAAGAGCCACTAAAAATACACTTTCAAACGAGTCCCATTATTAGCATTATCAAAGGAGGGTTTCCTGCCATTTAAGGTTAAAAAATCTGGAAACATTCTTCGAAGCTTTGTCTTCTCAGCAGGGTGGCTGGCAAAATTTTATTTTATCATTCCCTGACTTAACCCTGACTTTTAGCGAAATTTCCCGACTTTTTGGACCGCTTGAGAGCGTCACCCAGTTGGTTCGTTGGCACAACAACGCAATCAGCTGGCCCGTTGCGGATCCGATTTTAACGTTGCACCCGGCTCCAAGCTCCCTGATTCTTCTGGGTCGATTTGCATTCCCTGACTTTTCCTGGTCACTAGCCACCCTGTCTCTGTATTTTCAGAAAATGAATTTTTAAAAAAAAGATGAAACTAAACCATTCTCAATAAGACCTTTGAAACTTAACTATGTTTCCTCGGCTATGGAAGGGCACTTACCAGTTGAAAATGTTCCAACTCACAAGAATTAAACCGATTGACGAGGGAGTCCAATATTTCTGAGCACTTCTGAGCACTGCTACCCTCGTCATTCATTTGATTAGCTTTTCTTGTAACTTGAACCAACAAAAGTAATAATTCTCCAACTGGTTCCTGTCAAAACAACAACAAAAAATGTTAGATACTAAGGTTCACAAACGCAACACCAAATTGTTACAGAAACAAAGGAAAAATTATTAAACGTGGTTTTGAATGAAAATGTATGGACCGAAACTAATTTTTTAGTCGATTTCTTGTCTTCTCATTGGTACAAAACCAGTAAATGGAACCAAATGAAGCATTATCCCTTTGCGATCAATTTCACGTCGTTACTGAAAAAATGCCCTTGGGCCACGCTGCAAAAAATAAAATCTGCTATCCTGTGGAGTTCAAAAACAAATGGATGCTTCATTTTACGTCATTACAGTAAATGACACAGAAAATTAATAAATTCATTAATACAGGGTTTCACTAATTTCTTCATTTTCCAATGCCCTAACTTTCCCTGACTTTTTCACCTTCTCCTCCCCCGACTCCAAACTAACGATTCTCTGACTTTCCCTGAACTCCGGTTAAAACCTTCACCTTCCTTTGAATTACACAGACTTTTGCCAAACTGAGGATTAAATCTTCACTTCTAGAGATTCAAATGAAGGAAACAGGCAAGTAAGAAATTTTTGTACTGTCTCAAATGGCGCCAGCTAAAGTTCTTGAGTCAACGCACTACCCGCAAAATTCCTTGATGTCCTTTTTCGAGATTTTACAGACCATTTGAAACCCTGTCAAAAGTTTTGCTGTGCTAAAGAAGAACGCCATAACAGCCCCCAGACGTTGCCAAATTTCCTCAAAGAAATCGAAAGTTTTTGGGAGAATTTTCACACATTTGTCTCCCGATTTTTCAGAGAATTTTGCTCATACTTTGATCTAAAGTTTCTGAAAACTTCAAGGAAAAATATTTATGATTCTCCTCAAAAATAAATATTTTTCAAGAGGGAGTTCAGCGAAATTCGACTGAGCATACGGCGCTTTTCCTTAGCGCAGCAGGGTTAGTGGAACTGAAAATCATAAATTATACAAAAATGAAAACACGAAATAGGGAACTACAGAGACTATGAGGCTGATGGAAATTTTGTGAGGATATAACTTACGATGAGAGTCGCACTGGCCCCATGAATAACAACAACTTTGTCTAGAGAAATAGGAAGCAGGATATTTTCATCAGACTCATAATAAGTACTGAAATGATCCAACAGCAACTCTAGAACGCTTTCACACAATTCAGGATTGTTCGCAATGGCAACGGATAGACCTGCCGCAAGATTGATGCCACAAAAATTAGTCATACATCAAAAAACAGATGCTACCACAAAAATAAAACATGCTGGTGAACATGCCAGGTGTCTTACATTTGAATATAAATACAAATAATGAAAGTTACTGAAAATGATTTTAAGTACTGCAAGATCTTTATGAGGCAAGGATCTGCTCTGAAAAAAACATAGCTGGAATTTTTCCAGGCAAATTGATGATTCTCTTACTTCTGGAACCGAGAATCTTGATGGCAAGTCATCAGACTTTTTTATACATCATAAAGTTTTCGACTGGCCTGACAAATCTTCTGACTAAAAATACATACGATTTTCAAAAAATGAATATCACATTTGTAAAATTTATGTTACAACATTCGCTGAAGATTGTACAAGAGTACAATTAGTCATCTTATGTTCTATTAGGAAATTTTCATTTATCCAACTTAAATTGTTGTCAGATAGATTATATTTTCTCCAAAAAAAGAGGAAAAAAAGCTCTCCAAATATAGAATAGATGGTCCGTAGAGTATCAGAAACTAATGCTCCACTCTCCAAAATACAGTCACCACTCATATGCTCAAAAGCAAAAAGATGCTTGGTTCATAATTTTGAAAGTCTTCAACCTTGAACAGGAGACTCAAGCAAGTTTAAGCATTGAGAGGAGAGGACTGTAAGAACCCTACAGCCTTTTAGCCTTTTCAGACTTTTTTTTAAAAAAAAATATATATATTTATTATACAAATATTTTGAACTACTTACTACAAAAAAATTATAACGCTTATAATAAAATAAGTTTGGTATTTTCACCTTGATACAAAGAGAGTTTCACGACAGCTTGTTGAGAGAAGCATTTCTTCAAGACACCGAGTACTTCAAGACAAATGGCTTCTGAGCTATTATTCGAACTTGGAGCATGCTGAGTGTGAACATCCAGATAAACCTGGAAATATAAACAAAAATATCAAAGCAACTGCTGAGTAAATAACTAAGGAAAAAATCAGTTGCACCAGAAGCAATTGAAAATTATCACAATGGATGCAGCAAAAGCTCTTTCTCTGCGTCTGCAGGGTTACCACAGAATTTAGAGGATGATTTTCCCTGATACATTCTTTTAAATTCCCTGACAATGGGTCAGTTGAGCTGGTCACAGAATTGTGTTATGATGCTTGATTCTTGCATATTAGCTAAAAATAATATGAGCTGTCTAAACCGCAACTTTCTACGTTCAATATTAACCCAGATATCGCCCTTTGAAGAGTCTGATTTTTGACGTCATCCACCGCAGCAGTGACACCCATGTTTTCTTCCTCTTTTGTTCGGTCAGTGGTGCACAGGGCGCAGCGCAAAACTTCAACGACATTAAACACAAACAGACTGTGGTGAACCAACTGACCGCCTAATCTCTCTGCGTTAAGTGCGTTATCTCCTGATAAGAAAGATCCTCGAAGCACGCATCCGTCTGTTTCTTATGTTTGTTTATGTTTAATGTCTTTAAAGTTTTACGTTGCACCCTCTGCATCACTGATCGAACAAAGTAGGAAGAAATCAAGGGTGTCACTACTGCGGTGGATGATGTCAAGTACCCGACTTTTCAAAGAGTGATATCTCAGTTAATAGTGAACGGAGAAAGGTGCGGTTTGGATGGCTCTTATTATTCTTAGCTCCTCTCCATGAATCAAGCATCAAAACACGATTCTGTAACTAGAGCAACTGACCCATTAAAGACATGCCAAATGGTTAAAACGATATAATTTTAGATAGTTTTCAGGCATTTTGATGGCGTAAGTCCGCTTCCACAAATCTTGTTTGCGGTGTCTGAAAATCTCCGCCTCTACGTTATTTTTTTAAAGGAAAATAAATTGACATCATTCCTTGAACTTTTTGCAGAATTTTCTTCGCACAGAGAAGAAAAATCACGGCAGATTTAAAGAATTGCCGTTGAGTAGTTTTCCATTTAAAAAATAAAGTATGATAGGAAGTCTGCGACGTCACAAACCGAGTTATGTGGTTGCCGATTTACACCTTTGATTTGTTGTTCAAAACATCAAATCCATTCTAAAGGGCGAATAAAAGTAACTTAAGAATTTTTCCCTAACATTTCTCGGTTTTCCCGGTATAGCCTGACTGTGGCAAACTTGTTCCAAAACTTCCAGAAGTTCTTGTTTTGAAAAGTCAATGGAGCTCAATGTGACATCGGAATTGGCCTCCTCTATAGTAAATGAGTTGACTTTAAACTTCCCACTACCTATACACAGTGGGATCTTAAAACTCGTCAACAGGAACGGCCAACCTGAATGGATTGGTCTTGAGTGAGAGTAACAAACAAAACAGGGCACAAAAAGAGATCAATCTTACCTGGCTAAAAACACTTGGACCACTATTCTGCATACTGCCCTGACTCAATGCAGTAAGGCCCCTAATTTTCAGATGCTTTAGAAGCTGCAAAAATCCTATCACAGCTGTTTTCCTTGTTTCAATTTCACTAGAAAATTCATAACATTTAAAAATGAAAGGAATATGGAGAGAAAATACTTATACAAAATGGAACAGTTCCAATAGAACATAGTTGTGATTGAGACTTCATCATCAAAACTGTTATTTTCACATTTGCAACTGTCCAAGTCGATTAGGCATTCATGGCAGGCTTTAAAATAAACAACTATGCACCCAAAACCAAGAGATTCAGCACTGGCTATATTTTGAGATTTTTGCCATGATATTCCTTACGATTTCCGGAGTATGAAGACCTTGTAACATCATGGTCTTGAAAATCAGGTCTGAAAAGTGCGTTTTCCAGCAGTTTTACATGTCTTGTCAAGTGTGGAAATGTAGGTGATCGAGGAAGGAGCTCCTTTAACCTCATCTTGTGCTAGACGGGGCAATTAGACGGACGATGGATGTACGCGTCAACTCAGTTCTATTCAGAACAAAAAGCTCCGATCTCTGACTCGGCAATGGTGCCATTTCTTCGTTCGACAGACAACACATATTAAATTGCCAAAAAATACACTTTTCAGATCCGACTTTTTCGAGAGTGAAAAGTAAAAAATTTGATTTTAAAACCTCATCTAACCCAAAGGATTGAAAGGAACTTCTTAACAAAACATCTCAAAATTTAGCCAGCTCAATTTTTTCAGTACTGTGTGCATACTTCTTTTAGAAAAACTCCATAAAAATGTCATTTCAGGAAAATTTTGATAATAAGCTATTTCTAAGAGAATAAGCCTATTTCACCTTCATGTAACACTCAATTTGTACTTTATTGAGGATCTTCAGTGCTGCACCATTTAATGATTGTCAGGATTTTTTTATTATCTGTGCCCAGTTAGTGCCCAATGAGCGACTACACAAGGCCTTGTCTAGAAAAGAATCATATGTTTTCTCTTCTCAATGTTATGTAGAAAACAATTCACACAATAGGAAACTCGAAAATTGACTTCTGAATGACATATTGACAAGTGTTTGTAACACAGATCAAATGAACAAAATTAGTTGTAATCACTTTTATTTTTGCCATTAAACCAATGTTCTTTAGGAGTTAATTTTTGGACTTCTTGTAGTGTCATTTATTCTTTTCACGAAATTTTAAAGAGAATACATGTTGCGTATGGGTTTAATCCATTCCTTGTTGACCTGTTCTCTTGAATGGCACTGGCTCAAGTTGCTGAGCCAACACACTACTCGCAAAATTTCCTGACTCTCCAGGTTTTCCACACCACTGAAATTCTTTCACTATCCAGAAAGAAATTTAATCGCTTCACATACTTCAAGGCTGTCTGACAAAAGAACACGACTTCCTTGCAGTATTAATGTTTGCTTATTTTTTCTTATTTAAATTCTAGTCTTTGAATATGAACTGTATGATAAATTTTGTTACCACCTTACCGAGAAAATAAGGCTTTGCGAAGAACTAGAATAAGATAGTCTCTCAATCTTGTTGATATTTGTATCAATGGTACTAGGGCAGTGACAATACGCTGAGCTAAAGAACTTGGGAGTTGACTTAAAAATTCCAGCATTCCAACTAATTCGTTTTCGTTCTCGACCATTAGCATTGAGCAGGAATGGCACAAAGATGCTAAACACTCTGAAAAAATATTAAAAAGAATTAATTTCAAAATTCATGAATACTTGTACATCTATGCTGGTCGCATTAAGTGATCCATCATTCTAAGAAGTTGATAACTCAGTGGTTTTTAAAGGCATATGCTCTATGTGCAATACCCAAGATAGATTAGACTAAAGTCTGGTATTTTCTTTGGTCTAATTTTATTTGAATACAAAAAAAAAGGTAGAAAAAAACAAAACAACAAAAATGAAAAATTACATAGTAAATAGGTAAATAAAAAACAAATAATAGGTGATATGGATGAAAAATAAGCACTGAACGTATTATAGATTATGAAAACCTCCAGCTTAATTACTCGTACTTGGGTTACAGATTTTTGTCATTATTGATGAAATTACTACATGAACATTTTTGCAGGTTTGCGACCCAAATTTACTTTAGAAGAAGAAAAAGAAAATGTGGAATCAAGAAAATTGTCCTAACCTTGATGTTACTCAAGCAAATTATGAATCTCACGTTATCCCAGAGCAAAAATCTGCAGTATTTGAGTTGATGGTAATTATTACAATTTCATCAGACAACAGCCTGAGCGGTAATAAAGAAAATACATAAAATCTGTTTAAATTATCCACAGAAAATATGGCAAGACTCACCTGTGAATTGTGTTAATGAATTTCCTGTGATTATACGGTCGCATAAAGTTTTCAAAGCAGATCGAGCGATATGTGTGTGAGTTTTTACTAGGGAAACGAACACATGTCTTCCTAGTCGCCATATCTTCTCCGTGATTTCTTCACGACCTTTTACACCGCCCATGCTCAGAAGGTTGATACTCAAGTTTAGGAGACCTTTCAAAACCTTTTGATGCTCACAGACACTGACAAAAAAAGAGAGAAAACCAAATGGATTCCATATTTGAAACCTTGAGGCTCGCATTTCATTTTCTAAATCAAAAGTTGGCTTGTTCAAAAATAATTAAATGACTTCTGAATACTTGAAATTAAAGCGTTGGCTGCCTTTGAAAGATGATTTTCTCATTTGACATTGATGATCAGAAGTCACACAAAATTTAGTCTACAAACATGTCATTGGAGACGCTTACCAGGGCTTTGAACATTGTTGCCTTGAAAAATGCCATCGGACTTGGGGAGATAATAAGATTGGTGCCAACAGTTTATTTTGTGGTGCGTAACAAAAGATTTGATAGTTCGCTTAGAAAATACATCAGGTCAACATTCCACTACTTAAAGCTTCAATAGCCTCTCGCTTTTCACTCAAAATGATAGGATTAACTTAGTACATATTTTTAATCCTTGGTTAAATCTTTCAGAATGTACAGAGGCAGAATAATTACAAGGCAATGAAAAATGAATTTTTCCTAGAATTGATGAAATAATTAATTGCAGGATCTTTTGGATAGTGTGAAACTGGTGAAAATGTTTCTCTGTTAACATTGTTCTGGCTTTGTTTACTATGGAAGGGGTGAATATTCGATATAAATTTTCATTTTTTTTGCAAATTTCAATTGTATCCAATTGTATTGTAGTACGATGAAAAAAGAGACAAGATTTTCGAGGAGCACAACGATTCGGAGTTTTTGCAAGAGCCAGGTATTTCTTGAAAGCAACAGAATTTCTATTGTTTACCATGAAACATTTTTCAATGGTAAGAATATCAACTATGGATGAACTACTTACGGACTCTTCGTCAAGCGCACTAAAACAGATTCCATGGTGCTCTTGGATTTTACGATGGAGCACAGCCATGCAGAGTCGTTTTTCTTGCTTTCTTCGGTCACACAATAGCTGACAGCACTTTGTAACATTTCCAAAACCTGGAATGAAAAAAACATTGGTGAAAACAAGGGTGTCTACAGACTTCAGAAAAAAAAAGACTCAGACATTCTCAGGCTTTACTTCACTGAAACGAATATTGTTTTCAAACTTATTTGATTTACAGTCTTCCAAATTATACATGATGAAGGACCGTTTCTGCCATTTATTTCCTTCAGGAATCTCCGTAAAACAATAAAAATTTAACTACAACTTCCTCACCGGGCAGACATGCTTTCAACAGCTCCTTAGGGGTGTTCAAACGAATTCTTGCCGGAACACTTTCGATATCATCTCTTATTGAAACTGGCGCAGTACCGACAGTGGCGATGATATCGACAACAGCCGGCCTTTTCGGATTTTTGAGAGCTCGCACTCAATGCATTGTTGCCCCGTGTGTCGGTTTATCAGATTGCCTGGCGCGGCGGCACATAAAATAGATGTACAAATGGCAACAGCTTCTTTTCGTCAGCTCCGAAAACTCTGATCGCTATCGGCATGAGCGCTCTTATCGTAACTTTTTCTTAACGGAACTGTTTCGGAACCGACAACCGATAGAACAGCCCTACAGCTCCTAGTAAAGCTCTCAGGCAGCAAAATCTGTACTGCAACCTGCTGCCAAATTGCAACAGAATTTCATTTTTTGGACACCTAATGCATAATTTTGGACAGTTTTAGCTCAAATCAGGTGTAATCTTTTTCCATTTAAAATAAACAGAATTAAAAAGGTTTCAACTCTGACACCCCCCCCCCCCCCTTAAGTACCTTCCTTCCGAGAGTGTTTTGGAGACCTGAACTTATCGACAAGATATCTTAAATCGAGCATAAATATACTGAATTTCAAGATAGTTCAAGAGTAGGCTAAAAATGATGCATTTTGAATCAAACTCTTTGCCCGAATCTAAATCCTGGACTAAACCGTTAAATTTGAATTCATCGTCATTTTAATTTTACTAAAGGCACAGATTGCCTTACCTGCGTTTCATAGGCAGCAATGCACGATACAGATAGAAGGATGGATAGAATGAACGGATCGAAAATGAGGTCAGGGAGATGAGAGGAGGCTTTCACTAATTTAACCAAATCCATTACAGAGCTCCGGGAAAATTTTGCACTTTCCTCAATATGGTAGAGAATAGTGTTCTCAGCAGCAGATAATTCCGCCTCGGTGTCAGTTTCTGCAAGCAAAATGAAATTTTGGTGAATAAAAGGAAAGAATCAGCTAATTTTAAAACGAGATTAATGAAATTCTTACGGGGAGACAAACTGTGTGCCTCAAAAGTCAAGACTGGGATTTCGACACCACTAATAACAAAATTTGATTAATTATTTATCAATTCATTTATTGGAAAATGGATGGACTGTGAGTATGTCCAAAAACAAAAAACAGGAGTGTGAAAGTTTGAATTATGCAAAAAAGCAAATATTTACAGGAGTATTTTGACACAAATGATACCCTGAAACATCAACCCAAACCAAATTTTGCTGGAATGAACTTTTACCCTTTATATTGAGATTTTCAGTCTTAAACTGAATTGCAACACCAATTGGCAAGATCACCAACACTCTGTTTTATCGACTCGTCTGTCAAACCACAATCTGTTTTTAGTGAAAATAAAGTGGTTTGAAGTTTCGAGCGAAAAAAGTGTTGTTTCAAGCCAAAGCACTTGAAATTTTTCCTATAATGTGTTTTAAGGGTCTGGCATAAATGTATTAAGTTGATGTAGTCTTTCAGGATAGCTCTAACTTGTGCAAGAGGATACATACAAAAAATCGTTTATCCTCAGAAACTACTGAGTTTCCAACCTGATTTGAAAAGGCTCAGTCTCCTAAAAAATGAAGCTTTATAATGTGGTTTCCTTAATTCCATGGAACATCATGCACAATTCATTTAACAGAGCTTCAAAGAATTTTGACAAAAAATCTTGTAATTCTGAGCAAAATTTATCCAAAAATGGCCTTGATATGCATGACTGGATAAAACAAAAATTCTGAAGATTAGAATTTTGGTTCTGGACGAGAGAATTATTCGGAGTTGCCACAGAATTGAGAAAATGAAGTTCCCTGACATTTTCCTAAAACATTTTGATGAAATTTTCATGATGAAGATTTGCCAGATGGTTAAAAAGACCAAATTTTCAGTAATTTTTGGGCGAACTTTGTTGTTCATAACGTCAAACCCATTCTAGATAGCAGATAAAGGTGCCTTTATTTTTTTTCTGACACTTTGGTCATTTTCCCTGACGTTTCCAGGTTTCCCTTGACTTCTTAAACCTTCCTAGCATTTTGCATTTTCTTGGTATTCCCTGACTGTGGCAACCCTGTGTTCCACATGTTTTTCCGTTTCTGGAGACATTCTCCAATTGAAATGAAATGAATAGTCTGAAAAAAATCTTACCCGCTGTGATGGCATCCATACTATCATCGAGCATCTCTTCTGCTTTGTTGTGAAGCTTCTTTGCGAAGTAAGTTCTTAAACCGAGGAATACAATGATACTGTGCTGATCCCTGCATAGTTGCAACAGTTGGTTGACGAGTGGAGGCAGTTCTTGGCAACTCGGAGCTTTTTCCATTAAGCTGCATAACTTCTTGACCACTTTTTCATGCTCTTCTTGTGTCAACACAATCTCACTAGATTGGGTAAAAATAAATAAGTACTATTGATAAGTAAACATCACGAAAATAGAAGTCCATTTTGTCCCTTCTTTACATTGAAAAAAATGGTTTACGAGGGAGACACAAGGCAGGTAGGTCGATTCGCATTACTTAACTTTTATGCATCCCAAATCTGCTAGTTTTGGGTAGCAACATACCCTGGTTTGCGTCTCAATCCTAAACCAGCAGGAGTAGAGACTCAAAAAGATAAGTGACATCTTGCAGTCTCGTGTCTGCGGTGCAGACTCATTTTTTCCTCCCAATACGTGACTCATAGTTGTTGAAGCACTTTTATCTAGTATAAAAGTAGTAGTATCTGGAAACAGATCCAAATTTGAGTGACGAGGCACTCTGGATATTTATATGTCACAAAGATAGCCATTGAACGAAGCATACTTACTTGAACATTGAAGTCAAAGGTGTAATAATTGAGTGATCCAAACGACTGGTGCAAATAGTATTGATGATCTGTCCTTTATACTCTGCGCCAGACATTTCAATGCCATCATAAACGACAATTCGTTTTTCATTCAAAACATTCAATATTTTTGGAAGGAGTTCTCGCCAACTGAAATTTTAAAAGAGAATGGTGTGATGATTCAAGTACACATAAAAAATTGTAAATTTCAGCCCGTTCCAACTTCCAAGTGTTAAAAATATGAAGGTAGGAATTGAAAACGGGGAGGTTGTGAGAACTTGGTTCTGAAATTGTAGACAGAAAAATTGTTCTCTTTACTTCTTCTATTTATAGGCTTGAGGGCCTTAAAAGGTAAAGAAAATTGAAAACCTTCATTCCAATTGGACTTATTCCTGCCAAATGGAACTATGTGCATTAAAAAATGAGCCCTGAGACCCATAAGAATAGATGCATAACAGGGTTTACGTCATAATACAAATAGTCCTGTTTGGCAGAAATACGTCCAATTTTCACATTGAATGTACAGAGATTTCGACTAAAAGGCCAAACAGGTCTGAAAAAAGATGCAGGTTTTGCTACCAATAATATTCAAACTCTAGCAAAAGTTATGTAATACTGGTTTGGAAAATAACAATTTCAACACTGTATTTTTTTTAATTTTCAAAAAAATGCAGAAATAAAATTATGGAACCGTTAGGTACTTTGCAACCTTACATTAATGTAGCTTGAAGGGGTTTCATGTTTGAACACATGAGGTAAGGACAAAAAAATGTTGCCTTCACCTCTGAGATCACCTCTTAAATTCTGGAACATCCTGTAGGTAATTACACTATTGAGAGATTCTTACCTGGTGCATGGTTTATCTTTGGCTGCACGAATATTTTCAACACATATGTCAGATAACTTTGACAAATAGGTGAAGGAAAATTTTTTGATTTCCTGGGCGAGGAGATTCACTATTAGTGTGGTTGTTTTGGTGGACTGCTCATTGGAGTGAAATTCATTGAGTAGCACCTCAGTTAGCTGAAAAAATAGGAGGATGTACTGATGATTGTCATTGAAAGGATAAAGGAGCTATGTCAGCTCAGATGCAATAGTAGGCGATAAAAATGAGATTGGAAGCAAGATTGCTTTTAGTAACAGAATTGTTTCATGAGTGAAGGAAGATTGTAATTTATGGAATCTTTGTCATGAAGCCTTCCAGGCAACGGAAGATCAAAATTTTTGTCTTCCTTCAAATACTGTAAATGCCAGAATTTTGTGGCTTATGACGGAGTTTTCCTTCAGAAGTCTCTATGTTTATCATGATTTTTCTTATTAAATTGAGCTTCCTGCATTTTTACGGTCAATAAAATCCTGAATTTGAAATGCTGAGTGAGTAGCAAATCGGCGTTAAGGTTCAAACCTAAAGCTCAGGATTACCGATACATGAATATTAAAAACTCTCAAGTCTATTGAGGAAAAAAAGCAACAGAGTTCACCCCATCGAATTAAGCTTCTTCAAAATTTTTCTTGAAAGAATGATGATAATAATCTTACCTTGAATCGTTTTTCCTCAGATTCTTTTTTATCTGAGAGCCCGCATAAAATGTAACTTAATAACAGCGATCCATCGGGACCGTTCATGGTACTCTTGACAAGCAGAGTGATCTGAAAAAGAAGAGTATTGCAAAAATAAATAATGAGCAAGTTCTCATGAACCTGAGAGGTGCTTGTTAAAGACAAAAAATCACATCAGAGTAACACTGAGAAGACGTATGGTACCATCGCTGTACTGCCGTGCTAAGGAAGAACGCCATATGAACATTCGAGAGTTGCCAAATTTCCCTCATTAAAACCTGTATTTTTGACAACATTCATGCATCTTTTTACTTGAAATTTTTAGATATTTTGGATTAAATTGCGTATAATATTGTCTGAAAATTTTGGAAAATAATATTCACAATTTTCCCAGCAAATTAGGTTTTTGTCGGAAGAAACTTGGCAACGTCTGAAGGTTCATACGGCGTTCTACCTTAGCACGGCAGTGCACACACAGGGATTTTTATGACAAGTCATTCATTTCTTGCGACAAGAACTCCAAACCCCTGCATTAGATGAAAAAGGTGAAGGAATGATTTGACAAAATCTGTGAATTATGAAGAAGCGAATAAAGAAAAAAAGATACGATGACATAGGTAAGTAAACCTACTACAAACAAAACTAAAGGTATGATGCAAAAGTTGTGAGGAGGAGCATAAGTACAATAGTACTTAAAATTGCTCTTGTGCTCCTTAATATTACATGACGAATTATCCTCTGCATTTTCATGGTGAAGCGCCTACTGTGATATGCAGGCGTCCACCACACCTCCTTCAAAGTTGCATGAAAGTTGCTGACTACAAGTTATCCCAGAATTGGCGAAGTTTGACGGGGATGATTCCACCACCATGCAAATGGATTTTTATAATGTAGGTACATCCATCAGGTGGATCAAGATATTTTAGACGACAACATGATACCTATCTGCAAAAGTATTTACGGAGTGTTGAGGGCAAATCACAGGAAATAGTCGAAGCAAAGGATACTTGTAAATATTCAGTGCTCAGCTTCTTCCTTTAGGACTTGTGAGTCAATACTTTTTCCTATCCTTCTTTGGGCTCAGCCAATGCCATTCGATTGCTTGCTGTGACAGAGAGATGTACATCCCCCACTTGCCACCACATTCTGTATGCTCTCCGTGGCAATTAGATGTCAAAAATAACCCACATGGAAATGGAGCCAGGCATTGGCAGATTAAGCGGGTAGGTGACCACAAAATCTATAACTAAAGGCACCCACAGAATTAGAGATCCAAGGGTCCACCCTTGATAATCACTCACTACCGAAGAAACATTGGCAGAGAAGCAGGATAACAGCCAATAGATTAATGCCGAGCTTGAGGATAACGTAAGTAATAAAGAGCAAGATGAAAGATTCTGGAGACCACAACATTCTCCCTTTCAACAGATTTGACTGATACTACTCATAACATGATATAAACTATCAACTGTTTATAAAACTTTAAGAGAAACTTACATTCTTGAAGTTTTCATTCTCCACAAAATTTTGGAGAGCTTTCAAATCTTGGTCACTCTTCAAGCGAAGCTGTCCAAGTTTCCGCAAAGTTTCAATGGTGCCTTCCATTTCGAACAGAGTCAATCAGTGAATGACAACCAGTAACTAAAATAAAAATGCAAAAAGGTATTCACGGGAAGGAAAACTGATAAAAAAAAATCTGGCACTTCCTCTCACAGTTTCATTTGAACTCTTGTCTTGACACTTCAATCATTTCATGTTTCGTTGAAGAAACTACAAATTACAAAAAGTCAAAAAGTAAAGTAAATCTAACCTTAAAAAATTCATTTGCTCCCGCTTTCCCGCGAATTATTTTTCATTTTTCCAATTATTCCTATTTTCGAACAAAAGGAATTTTAACGGCAAATTCCGAACCAGACGCTTTGATTGGTCCAGAGCGGTTCATTCCATTAATTCCGAGTTGAACCAAAACAAGCGGGAATTTCAAATAATTCCGGATATCCTGCTTACCATATCGTTTCCGTTTCCGGTAAACAGTGTTGTCAGTTTTATTTGTTGGGTTCAACTGGCAACACTGTACCGGAAACGGAAACGATTAGTTGAACAGGATATCCGGAATTATTTGAAATTCCCGCATAATTTGGTTCAACTCGGAATTAATGGAATGAACCGCTCTGGACCAATCAAAGCGTCTGGTTCAGAATTTGCCGTTAAAATTCCTTCTGTTCGAAAGAAGGAATAATTAGTAAAATGCAGCAATTTGAACTAGAGTCCCTTTATACTGAGAGTCAAGACAATTCGGCTCATGGATGTCACAAACGGGAATAAAGATTACAGAAATTGAACGTTTTTCGTAATCTTTGATCGGCCCATTCTCAAGTGCCTTTCTCCGTTCCTCCTCTCATTCCGTTTGTTCCTNCAAACTTGTCCCGATTTCGCCGCCAATCCTCTAGCCAATAGTAGAGGTGATTGAAAAGAAGCTCTAGAAGCTTCATTTTTTGCTTTTAGTGCTCCGTCTTTATGTCTTTGGTTAGAGAGTGCTCGAACTGCTCTGAGTTCCCGTCGCGCCACGCAGCCATCTTGCCTGCTCATTCCGAGGGGGTCTTTGCCTGCAAAAAGTAAACATCACGTGGTCCGCGGTTTTAATTTTTATGAAATATAATAACTTTCAATAAAGTTCTCCGAACGTCTCTGTCGTCTACGTGCAAGTTCCATATTTTCTTACAAATTTTCTAAGTTTTTCCGCAGATCCTTATCCAGAAATTTATTACGTTAGTCCTAAACCTTACTTCTTTTGAGACTTTACAAGCCCCCGAATTACTACCTTGGAATTGGAGATTTGCAGTAGGATGGACTAATAAGTACAACCTTGACTGACTGTCAGTCTAGGAGGTAGTGTATGGACATTCTGTGCCATCCCCCTCGTATTTTCTATAGCGAATGAATTAGAACACCATTTGCTATTCAACCTAATTTCGCTGTAGTTTCTCTGCGTTTTACATATATGTGGAGACCCGTTCATTGGTCACCAATTTTTTTCCAATGAAAGCGCTGATGCTAACTCTTCAACTCTGAGTTAGAGCATCATACTAGTCTGGCTCCCATGCCGCATTTCGTGGAGCAAAAATCCGTCGCAATCCACACCTGCATGTAAATTTTTGAAGCTGGGGAATAAAGTTCACCCCATCTTTTGAGTCACCGAAATGATGAGTTCATTCTAATTTTTCGTCTGAAGACATGAAATGTCAGGTATCAGGGCATCGCTCTTATGGAGGTCCGAGTTTTTTCCCTACAGCTCTTCCTTTCCTGTGGGTTAATCAGCGATGTTTTCTCATTGAATGCAATCTGTTCTTTCAAGGCGGAAAGAATTATTCTCTATTTGACTGAAAAGTCTAAATCTGTTGAGATTCTTTTACATAGTTGTTGCCATATATTGCACAGGATTGACAGGAGTTCAGCCACCCCACAAGATGATTGTGATGGTATAAATGAAATAATTTTCCAGTCCTTTCACATGTCAAACATAAGTGGATCTGTGGATATATCAGAAGGGCATCTACTTATTCAATTCAGTCAGCGCATTGCGTGCTAAGCATTTTTTGCAGCTGCTGGCTAGATCTCGCATGTGATAATGAAGGAAATTCCAATTTTCTTATGAAAAATTGAAAGAAAAATTTAAAAAATGTATGTAATCGGATAGATTTTAGAATTATTTATGGGTATCTTTTAAACAAACTAAGTATACAATTTAAAAAAAAAAATCAAAAAGAATTTATGAACTTGAAGACAATTTCCCAAAAAGTTCAGGTCCGTGTGTTCATTTTGTGAGTAAAAATTTCCAGAAAAAAGTACTAAATGCCACTCTAAATTGCTATGAGGGCGTTCTTGAGTAGGATAATTTTTAGAAAAATATTTTTTGAACACATTCATGATGTTTTACTTAGCTTGAAAGCAAAGCCAAATTTACATGGCTCAGCATTTCATCCGACAACCTCCGCTTTGCCTAGATACAGCTTTGGCTAATGTGGATTTAAAATTTTGTTTCAACTTTCCATCCCATCGATGACTCCGGGTGAAATGAGCAAGGGTGTAACTGATCCCGGATGGTCACGGGGATTCGATGTTTGACCAATTTGAGGGAAAAAGTTTGACAAACCAGCCCAATCACGTGATCAGCGTTTCCCCCTTGCTTTTTTTGTGTGTTTTTCTCTCTCAGAATTGACCCCACTATAATTGGATGGAACGGTCAAGCGAATAGTAGAGAGTGACAGCACATCTAGTTTCCGTTCAAATTTTCATCCGATTGTTGTATTCTTGTGTCAGTATCCCATGGTGCACTTATGCATTAAAAGAAAGCGGAAGAAATGTTGAATGGAAAGTTGAACCATGTGAATTTGGCCTAAGGCATTATCTATCTTTGGAAGTGCGACTGCACCTGAGACATATCAAAAACAAACATAAATTTGGGTGCCTACAAATTTTCTTTTTCTGTCATTCTTTTTCAATGTGTATCTTTGATTTTTTTAAAAACACACAAAGATATAATAAGTTTGAAAGGTCAGTAAAATTTCCATAATTTTAACTTCTAAAGGTCATTTCTTGAAAATTTTGGTGATTTTTCTTCTCTGTGTGAAGAATATTCTGTAAAAATTTCAAGCCATGACAAATGTTTAGTCTCGTCTTGAAAATTAAAATCTGAGCAGAAATTTTGAGAAAACTCAACCAAAATTCGCACTTTTGCAATATGTTTTTAACCAGTCTAAGTAAATCATTGGTTTCAATGGAGAGAAAAGGATACATGGAATAAATTCAGCCAATTTTGTTATACTGTACTAGTATTTTGTATTTTGTCCTGTACTTTGTATTTTTACTGACAGGAAATATTTTTAATAAAATAGTGAAACACAGGTAAGTAATAATGGAAATAAATCGAGAATGCACCAAATTGCTTCTCAATAGTATTAAGATCTGCGGGCTGATTATTGAAAGTTTAAAGCAGCCTGATACGACATTGAAATGAGATAAATTGCATGGTTAAGATAGGGCTATGTCTTGTCTTGTCTTGTCGCACTGACAGTTTCAATAATCGAGCCTCTGGGGTTTGACTGATTAGATGCCTGAGAGAAATGTTCTTCGATAAAGAATTAGGTACTTTTCCTTTTAAACCACTTAAGTAAGTAAATGATGAAGTTCACACACTAGTCGGTACAGGCATTTTCTCACCATGAACATTCTTGACGGAAAAGGTAATGCACTACTCTCTGGAATTTAATGAGTTTAGCTCCTCTTAAAATGGCGTTTTTCATGAGAAAAAAAAAACTTTGTGTATTAAAAAATTTTACTTTTCTCATATCTTTACAAATACTTAGGTATATTAACTACTTAAATTACAAAGATCAATGATACTTTTAAAAATTACTGATACTAGCAATCCTGGTGGAAGAATCTGAGCAGTGATAGAATTTGTTTCTTTTTTCACACATTACTGACGAGAACTAAGAACAAGAAAGTCAAACCAATATTTATCTTAAGGGCCCGAGCACCAAAATCCAACTTTCGAGAAAAACTTGGAAAACTATGCAATTAAGCAAGTAATTTTTGCAATTTTTTGAGCCCAAGAAATTTATTCATCTGAAGAATACCTATTAAAACTGGGCTCAAAAGACTGATTGCAGGCTGAATGGCACCTATTCTTCCGTTTTTCTTCAGACTTGGATTTTTCAAGAACCCTGGAGCAAAAATTGGTTCAATTGATGTTTTCCAGCCTTTTCATTGGCCAGAAAAGTGACCTGAGGACCTTACTTTCAGTTTCTCTCTGAAAAGTCAGATTCATAATAGGTATTAACTATTGTTTGAAAAGGACAAAAAATTGTTCTCAAGTGATCACAGAATACTGTGTTACAGATAAGGTAACCTTCATAACTGCTTAGGCAGATATTGTACAGATATATTGGCAGATATTGATATAGCACAAGCAGATATAAAAGTTAAACTTTTCTTGAAGAATGCCTACCCTATTACTATAGTGCACTGAGTGATCATTCTTCCTGCTCAAGGATGAGCTTTGATAAATAATCGAGCTGAATGCATAGCCTTGTTATTTTGATGGTCAAACAAAGGCTTCAGTTTCTCGTATAATCCTTGTAGTTTGTGAAAATGCTGACACAGAGAAGAGCTCATGAACTTAACCTTCTGATTTTTTTCAAATATTACACAAATGGATTTACCCAAATAGTTTGCTGACAGACTGAGATTATAGTTATATGATAATTAAGTAATGAACGCTCCAAAATTATGGTTTCTGATTTTTAAAAGCATTGATAATCGTTCTCTCTGGCACTGAATTCAATTTTCCAAGGAAACAAACCATCCTCAGTTGATCTGCAGCCTGATTGATGGCATTTTTTGTTTGTCAGGTGGACATGGCTGACATAGGTTAAATGGCGAGGCGTGATTGGTCCGCTATGTCTTATCGCTGCTTTGTCTATTAGAATGGATGACAAACTAAAGGCACCTCTTGAGTTTCCGACAGTATGTCGTCCATTCCAATTGACAAAGCATGATAAAGCAGTGATAAGACATGGCCGACCAATCATACTTCGCCATTTAACCTATGTCAGCCATGTCCACCCGACAAACAAAAAATTTCAACAATCAGGATGCTGTACCTATAGTAATTGTATTTACACCCTTTGAAAAGTCACATTCCCACTGTAGACGCTAATTGCACTTTTTGGAAATTTTGGACGAATTCATTACGACGTATAAAATACATCTTGTTTTGAAGGCCTTGATAAGTTGGAATGTCCAGGGGATACGTGATTGCAAGTATCCCTCTATCCTCCAGTTTTACTGCCAAGTAAAAAAAAGAAGATGGGCCAAAAAAGGGAAAGAAGAGATTATTCTTACTACGATGATTTTAGTATATTTGCTAATTTTTGAGTTTTATAATCATGCCTGAGTTGTATGAAATTAATTACGATTGATTGATCCAAGCCCGCCTGAAAAAGAGAGAGGACAGTATTAGTTTTGAGATAAACACAATTAAATGACATGAGATGCAAATTTGAAATAAAAAAAATAAACAAAGACCATGCTACTAGCGCAACTGACCCATTGCTGGCACCATTCTTGATTTTAGGACTTCCAGGTCTGATAGGTAAATTTAAAACAGATGTAATAAAAAAATATATTTCTCCCAAATTATAGTATTATAACTTCACACAATGTTTCAGAACTATGTTTCCTAGCTCTAGATCAAATTGTTACAAGTTATACCACTTTATTCAAAAGATGTGCCAAAACTTGATATGTAATTGCTTTAGGCATTCGTGGCTAACAGCAGAGTGCTTGTACCGCCATTATGTTAGACAAAGGGCACCTCTGTTGCCGATGCACTAAAAACAGTGCTTTTAGTATTTTGGAAAAAGAGACCTCCACCCATTATGCCCTATGGTCTTCATTTTTTAATTATGTACATTAAGTTAAGACAAACACTTGAAGAATTCTCACCAGTTGTTCACCGTTGCAAACTTGCTTTATATTTTCCGGCTTGACTAAGAGAAGATTACATAACGAATTCAAAGCATCAAAGAGCACATTCACAAGATTAGACTTGGTTTCACGAGCACACTTTCTATACTCATTGACATCACAGATCACACATAAGGCACCTAAAAAATCAAAACAAAAGTATTATGGAAAAGAATTATTCAGGCGAGAGGGCATTCTTCCTTTATTCTGATTTTCTGATCATAATTGAGGGGCTTGGAGGACAAGGCGCGTGAGTGCAGTTTTTGAAAAACATTGGGATATTCGTGAACTCAAACTAGTTTGAAAGTATATTCTGTGAAATATTCACTACTAAAATCCAATTTTAAAGCATCAAAAAGTGAGTTAAAACTTGGCTCCATGTAATTTTGAGACTTTAAACAAGTATTTCTTGAAATAGCAAAAACTGCACTTATAAGCCTTTTCCTCCAAGCTCCTCGATTCAGTGGCTTTATTCACAAAGGAGTTCAGTGCTGTTCAAAGAAGCAACACTGTAATTAAAGTTTTGCTACAGCAGGATTTTCCATAAACAGCCCAGGAATGAAATTCACAGCCGGCCTTTCAGTCCAGATGATTGGAACCTTTTGTACAGGGAAACTACTTATGGATATAGAACCAACTCACATCTGCTTACTTCATCCCATTTTTACGAAACAGGCTCACAAGCTTGTATAGAAAGCTTGTAAGCATGAGTTCTTCAATGTGTTAGCTGTATGAGACTATTTGAATCATAAATTTTGTACGATAGCTTTTTCATTTTTGCGTGGTTTTAGCAAGAACCTAAGTAACAATCCTATTTGCCTCTAATTTGTGATTTTTTTCTCATCCAAAGAGATGTAAGTAAGATAATTTAATTGACCCTCTGAAACTGCATACAAACTAAAAATAAATGCATTTGAACCTTCAAAAAAACAGCTAAAAATATCGGAAGATAAGTTTTGCAACAACCATCCTTCAATAATAAATTATGCTTCTTATTTTATGTGTTGCCTGATGATCTCTGGGAGGATAGGGGGCAATGGCGATTGGGCGTCGCAGAGCGCAAGGCAGCGCTATAAAAGCGGATTTATGTATGTATGTAAAAGTTAAAATTTCTTTGCTCTATAAATGTAATATTAGTTCAGTTTTTAATTGTTATCGTTACTTGGTCTTTTCACTTCCACCCAATTGAGATTGCTAATTTGTTTTGGCATAGGTGATTTCTTTTTCCCTGGATAGTTTAGACAAATCTTTTTCATAAATCCTCAAAAACTTTTAAGTTATTTTCAAGTCAAGTTTTTTTTCACTCAAGACGTTTATACTTTCCTAAAATGTGATCTGAAAATTTTCAATGTCTTAAAATCTGGACAGAATTGGCTACAACCAGATGGAAAAGGCAAAGAAAATGAACTCAACTAGAAATAAAAATGACGAGGACTTTGGTAACAAGAAAGGAAGGGCCTACAGCCAAAAAAAAAAAAAAAGGAATTACAACTTAGACCGGTTGTGTGAAAAGGGACCTTATCTTCCAGGAGAAAAGTGTCCTTAACTTCTTGTGAAATCGCAGAGGAAGAAAATCTGGAAATTTCGGCACAAGTTTCCTGAAGTCTCAAAAATTGGAGGAGTTCTTGTTCCTAAAATTTGGAGAAAAAATTCTAAGATTTTATAAAAAATGGTTTAAGTGCTTGCAAAAAGTGCAAAAGTTCTATCAGTAAAAAATGTGGTCCCTTTTTACAGATTCGGTCACAAATGGATACCAAGAGTGCTGTGTCTTTGATACTCACATAGTAAAATAATAAAAACAAACTATACATCAGGAAGAAAGAAATTCACTGAACAGGACTAATAAAGAAACAAATTAACATACCAGCTGAGTTATAGGAAAATTGTAATAAATGTTCATAGATGATCCCGTGCAAACGGACACCCAGTTCTTCCAAAACATTTTCTCCGTTTTTTCCATCAATGCAAGATTTGATCTGTTTCATGCATGAATTCAAATATTGGACCACAGTTCTACATGCCTGGAAAAAATAAATTAAAGAGTGAACAAATTTTTTTGGAAAAGGTACCGGCTATCTCTCAATATGAAAGTTACTGACACATCTTGATTTTCAAATAGATAAGATTTACCCATGAGGGGAGATAATAGACCCGCTGCTGATTTTTTTCCACAGTATGTTCGGACAAATTCATTAACGCAATAGAATGGAAAATCCTGAACCTGAAACTTAAGTTGCTGAGGGTGGGCACAAACCTGAGACACCTCATTCTCTAGTGTTGCCGCAAATGCTCCCAGGTTCTGAAGGACATTGAGAGCACTTTGATGCAAAAGTGGTATTGAAGGCTACTTAAGCAAAGCCACCCACCTTAGGACACAATTGGCTACTGAAAGTACAAATTTTGGGAATTTTTCCCACACTTACTTTGACTATTTGCAGAAAAAAACCTTTGGTTACTGAATATGCCAAATTAGTCTTTCAAAATGAGAACGAGTTGAGGCAGTTGATCAGCAAATCCTCATGTCTGGTTGATTCATCTCCAATCCAAAAATTAAAAATTGGAATTGACACAAAACTTAAGGGCAAGTTATTAGGCAAAGTCAATTTTTGTAACTAAATAAAAATTTTCTCTTCCTGACGCACACATCTAAAAACTATGTACCAGATAATGCTCTTTTTTCATGCCACAGAGCAGGAACCATTTTAACCGAGCAAATCACCTTCAAGAGTGAAAATAAAAGAGAGAAACTTGCTCAAGATGAGAAAAAAAGAACTACCTGCAGGGTATGCAGGAAAAAAAATAAAATAAAAAATTATACAAAATTCTTAGGTATCACTTTCGGCAAGGAGTATGAGTTACATAGAATATTCAGAATTCAAATATTCATCTCTTTTGTCCGCAGAGGAAAAATTTCAATCTTTTTCACTAACAGGAGGTTAAAAGGAATATAAAGAGAGAGAAACCACCAGTCAACAGTAAATGAGTTCTTACATGCGATGCTAGGATATCCACATCTCCTTCCGGCTTGAAATCTGTTTTCTTCTGCTCGTTTTGCAAATAGATTTTTATCCAACCAACAATTGCATTGATTGACCTGTAACAAATACAGAAAGTAAAATTTCACATGATAAAATTCAAAAAAGTTTCACTGTTTATTGTCATTTCTACATGTCATTTGTTTTCATTATTAATGCATTTTCTATTTTTTAGGTACCAAAAAATGAAAGTATTGTGCGTATACTAAGGGCAAAACAACGTCCACTCCAGGATCTGCTGGTTCTTGAAAATTGAACAAAATTGCAAAAAATAATCTAAAAATGAGGAACAATACAAAGAAATACGTCCCGATGAAAAATCCATCAAAACAAAAAGAAAAACAGAATTTTTCATTGCGATTTAAATGTCTCAACATGCTTGATTGTGTAATTTGTCAAGGCAGATGCAACAAAGAGCTTTGACAAAATACTTATATGAAAGAGAAAATACAGAGAATCAAAATCAAAGAAATTGAATAAAAAATATGAAATCGAGTAGCTCACCTATCCAATCCTACATAAAGTTTGGCTTCCAATTGTTCTAATAAATACTTTTTCTTGACAAAACAATCATTGTGTTTGGTTGGGTATGTGAGTGGTATTAGACAGCTGTTGAACTGCCTCTCTACAAGGTGGACCATGCTTGAAACTTGTTTTACAATTTTGAAAAAGTTTACTACTGGCGGAGATGAGTTTTGCTGTGGAATAGGAATCGCTTGAACGGCAAGTTCTAACGCATAGTGTAAATGTTGCTCGACTAAAAACTGCGAGCTCACTTCAAAAATATGAAGGGCATTGGCGGCAACTTCTTGGGGTAGAGAGAGCTGAAAACAAATAAAGGGCCATTAATTTTCTGAATCATGGAATGTAAAACATATTTTTCGGTTGAGAATAAATCATTAGACAGGACAGGCATTACAATACCACAAGACATGTGTATCACCTTATTACAATTTCTTGCAAAATAAATTGACGACTTCAAAAACTCTCAAGAGCAAATCATACCTCAGAAATTGGTGGAAATATTCTAGATAATATGCGTCTATTCAAATATTCTGCTTATCAAGAGACCAAAATAAACATAAGTCAAATCTGCCTCTGAAAACAAACTTATGTGCTATCAAGAAATACCTTGACATTGATTTTCTAAAATGGACCACTAGACAAGGAACGAAGTTAAGCATTCTTATATTTGCTTCTAAATCAAAATTTTATGTGGAGCACAAATCGCACAACAGAAATTACTGAAATTAACTCCCGACCAAAACATTTAATATTTCTTGATGCGTGAATTCAAACCTCTCACTCATGAATATGCAATGGTCCACAAGAGTCAAATTGCACATTAAACATTACCGCCGCAGTCTCTGCAATACGAAAAAATATGGCAGCCTCAATCTTAACGCTTCAACTACAGCAAACTACAGCAAATTTTTTACACTTAGAACAATAGAGGGTGGGAAAGGAATGATGCTCGATTGAGAGGCCTGCCAAAACAACGGTTTTGGCGCGGTTTTGGCGGTTATAAGGCGCGATTTGACTGGAGTAGAGTATTGCGTTTCTTATGACCAGGCAATTCAAAGTAGAAAAAAAACGTTAGTATCTCAGTTAAGAGTTGTTTCAGTAATTTTCGATACAAGAATTGTGTTCGATGTTGTTATCTGGTAAAGAAAAATGTATCAGAATGATTAAATTTGCATCTTGTCTAGTGGTCCATCACCCTTTCTCTAATGCACAAAACTTATGAACACATTGATACATTTGGAAGCTGAGAAAGTTCTTGAATACTAAAACACACGGCTATTAGTTCATTATCTGGTTTGACTCTGACAATTTTTGGTGTTTAACCAAAGGAAAGCTTCGAGCAATTGACAGGGAGATCAAGAAGGCCATCTGCACCCGGACATTAATTGTTGAAAGATTATTACCGTTTGACACCGTAGATAAGCGCATTCAGTCTCTTTTAGAATGGACAGCACAACTTCATCGGATAGAAAAGTTTCGCCACCAAAATCTTCTATTTGTGCAATGTTGATATTGGTTCTTCCACCGATGACAGCTTGTATATCTCGTCTAAGATCTTGAAAACTGAAAGGAATGATAAAAAAGATGTTAACCATGACAGTTTATGGATGTCTCCAATGGATAAAAGACACTAATTTTTCGGTTTTAACTTCAAAAATTAAAGAGCTTCCTTGTAATAGAAAAAATTAAGAAAAACAGCCTCCTTGTGGATTACTTTTTTTTAAGATTGTCCACCTTATCTTGTGAATGAGTCTGTTGCAAACTTTTGCTGGAGCAAAAATAAGAGTAGTTTCTTATAGATAATGTCTCAAAAATCACGATGAGCGCACTGGCAAATTCTGAAATGCACTCATAATTCCACAATCTGCGTAAGAAATTTGCGTTTTTTTTAGCTTCCTACTTCAAAAACGATACTACGGCACAGGTGAATATTTTGTTAGGGGAGTCGTTCCATTGTCGGCAATATTCATCATGGCCCACGCTTCCGCAGTTCCGCTCTTAATTCGAGAAGAGATCAAGGTCAATCAAGGCGAGCGAGGAGATATGAACATAAACACGCCAATTGTTATCTGGTCTTATCCTAGTCAGGTGTTACCTCATCTCGTTACACATGTTTTGGCGAATTGGCATAGGCCATGATGAATATTGCCAAAGATGAAATGACTCCTCTGACAAAATGTTCACTCGTGCCACAGTATCGTTTTTGAAGCAGGAAGCTCAATAAAATGCAAATTTTTTACGCAGATTGTGAAGTTATATGTGCATTTCAGAATTTGCCAATGCGCTCATTGTGATTTTTGAGACATTATCTGTAAGTAATAACTTTTATTTTTGCCCTAGCAAAAGTTTGCAACAGGTCCATTGTATTAAAACTGATAGAATGTTTCTATTTTATGTTGTCTACATCTGGTGCTATCTTGTTCGAACAAAATGAAAAAAAAAATAAAAAGGGCTCCATGATACATCTTGTTATTGTAAATTATGTTTTCATTATTATTCAGCTCACTGTTTAAAAAAACTCATCTGTCAGGTACAGTATTCTGTGTAGTGTTCAATTTTGCGGAAGAAGGTTGATAGCTACAACTTTAACTAGGTAGATTATGATTTTAAGTGAGGTTTACTAACTTCATGGTGGGGTTTTGCTTTCTTTGATGTCCTTTTGATTCATAATACTTATGGAGGATGACCGATGACTTATCCCGTAAATGATCTACTTCTGTTGTAATATACGATTCTAAATATCTTTGGAACACCTTATTGGCTAGCTTGTTTAAAAAAACATCATCAGATTCCTTGTAGAACTTTCCCAATTCTTTGGATAACTGAACAGTTCTGTGAAACAAAACAAAAATAACAACATATTCATATCTAGTTGAAACAAATATACCATCTCTCTTCAGTGAATTTCTGGAATATAATATAAGAAGAGTCAAAAAGCATCCTGTTAAGGGAATTTTCTGATTAGTTGAGTGTACTCAAGATGATATGACGGTAATTAAACAACAAGGCCTGATTTGTACATAAATTCTATGATATTGCAAAACAGGCGATATTCTGACCTTGTAAACATTTTGACACTAAAAATGTTGAATCACTCCTTTTCTTGTAGATCTGGACTCGCTTGTCATGTAGCAACTTAGAAAAAGCCAGGTTTACATGTTAGCAATAAAGTTTTGATTTTTCAATTATCAGAACATCAAACTACTGCATAGAAAACTAGAAAACAGATTGTGCTCCACATATCAATACATGAGTAAAACTAAAAGATCCAAAAGCTGAAAACAAAAATAATAATGAGCAGAGAGAAATTTAAAAACGATAATAAAATATGAACTTACTTAGTATAGAGCATCATTAGATTATCCAAGTATAAACTTTGATTAGATTCTAGAATTTTATCAATATATTCTTGTAACTTCAAATGGTACAAACTAAGGACAAATTTTGCCATGATCTGATCAGCAGAGCTCGAAAAAACAACTTTGATTGTTTCATAACATCTTTCACATAAGGTCACAGCATCCGAAAAGTTAAAACTCCCTGAGAATGCATGCTGAAAAAAGAAACATTTTTTATGAAAAAAGATGCTTGCCACTAGGTACATATCCTCCTGTACTAAAAACAATTTTTTGCAAGAAAGTCAAAATTCTCAATAGATTGTAAATGTTTCACGCGATTGCTTTGAAATTCCAAAATAAAATTTTCAATTCCAACTTGAATGATTCACTAAAATATTATTTCACTGAAATATCTGTGCTGGTAACTTTCTTCTTTAAATAATACATGTTCATTTGCTGCTTAGAGCTACAAGATTGTGAGCAAATCAAAGGAAACCAATCTGCCTATGATGTAATATATTGACAATTTGTAGAACTCTGCGTATGCTTTTTGGCATTATAAATAATAACTAAACCATTTGTTGCATAAATGATGCAACTACGGAAGTATACATCTTAGTTTGCAACATTGCAGATTCCTCATCACATGCCACTTTTTTGCAGGATGACTTATTACTGTTATTGCACAAAGGTTCAAGTGAATTTTTTTCCTCCATTGAGAATTTTCTTTTAAAAAATTTCGTACGGAAATTCCTGAATACTTTGTCCTGAATACTTAGGAGTAGAAATATCAACAAATCACAATCGAGAAACGCATTTTTGCTATTTCACAAAGATCTGTTACTAGGCATATCGAGAATGCTGGTGTTCCATTGTTCCTAACCTATTGTACCAGCTAGATGTTAATGACAATCTTTCAGCTCTACTTGTAAGCTCAACATAGCTACGCATTTAACTAAGTAGTTTGCAATCCTTGAAAAATATTAAAATCTCACCTCTTGGCTGGCTTCTATGAAGGCATTGACACACTGTGAGTGTCCTTTAAATTGGGACAAAATGTTTGCTAATTCAGTCATGCGCTCAATATTGCCATATCTCTGAGCAAACACAAACTCATCTATCAAACATTTCTGTAATTCACTGTATTTTTTGGAGATTTTCTTCTTGGCCTCTTCAAAATTTTCACTTGGAGGGAGCTCTTGGGCGATCAGATTCAATTTTTGGATGACGTCTGCTGCTTTATCCAGGTTGCCTTGGTTCATGTCGAACAATTCGCACATGTATTGAGACTGTGCTAGACTAGTGGTAGAATTGCTCTTTGAAGGGCTGATATTATTTGATAGAAATGCATTGAAGGCTAGCATAAGCTTTTGAGCTTCGGCAGCTCTTGATCGTGGTGTGTTCAGAGATTCAAGCTGATCTCCAATATGAATGACTTTGGTTGCTACTGTGTTTATCCGTTCATCCAGCAATTGAAAAATATTAGTTGCTGTCTGAAACAGGATTAGAAAAAAGCATATATATGTTCATCTTCTCTGTAGTCATACTGGTTTATTTTCATTCAATTTTAATCCACTCTCTCATTGCTCGGTCTTAAATGCACGAATTCATCTGGGACATGATACATCGATGGCTGAAATCACCTCTGATCTCAGCTTTGCAAATCTTTACTCGTGTTTTGTTCAATTTTTTTTAAAGAAAACAAACCACAGTTTGCCTCAAAAGTTTCTGTAAATTTTTTCAATGATTCATAAATATTTGAGGAAAACTTCCTTGGGACCGGGCGGATTGCAATAAGTTGCATGCAAAAATGGGAGGGCCTTTAAAACAGGTTTTAAAACTGGGAGGGCCAGTAAAATAATTTTTACCTTTGCAAAACAGCAAAAAAAATCAAGTGTTTGTGGTAAAATGGCTGCAAGTAACACTTAAAAAGCCATAAGAAGGTCATTGTTTTGAAATTTTGGAGGAAAAAGTGGTTTTTAAAATGGGAAGGCCAAGTACTTTCTGCATATCCAAAAATAATTATAGATAATGGTATTACCTTATTAGATTCCTGAAGCTGAGCCACTTCTTGCCATAAACTTACTTCTTGATCACCACATGCTGACTCAAGCTTGTCACATTTCTTCCTCTGCCGTTCTTGAAGAAACTTTAGGTCCCTAAAACAACAGAGGTGTTGATATGATAAGAGAAAATTCATAATTTTTATGGAATTAAACGATGAAAAGCAAGCTGTTGAAAGATATTTTTCAGCAACAGCATATGTATGAACAGGGCTACTTCGGGATTTATATAATGAGATTCCTTGAAAAATTTTTGGACGATTCTCTGACACTGCATTAAATGCAGAATGACTAAAAAGAGATAAAAATTTTGCAACAATGCAACATTAGTTGTATGAAACGTCCAACACATTCGGAAAGGTAAATGAAAGTGATATAACAACTTTTTCCTGACACTTTCGTCATTTTCCCTGACATTTCTCAAGTTCCCTTGACTATTTCAAATTATTTATGGCAGATGTCAATATTGGAGTAATCCATGTTGACATCTGAGTGAAAAATTTTAGTCTTTAGATTGAGGATACTTCCAGATCAAATTTTTTCTATGTAAGGCTCCACTGATATAAGCAGGATTTGGCTGCAAATAGCAGAGAGAGCAAGGCTGAGATTCCGCAGTAACTTCCATGACAAGTGACTCTATGGTGCAGACTTTTTAAAAGAATATCTTAGTTTCATAATCAATAATCGTATACTTCCTGATCACACACATACATGATCAACAATAGTGTTGAAATTCATGGGAGTCCTCCATAGGCCTCTGTTCCCTACATGATGCTATTCAACTGTTTTGAATGGATTTAACCTTTTACAGGTAGTGCTTGAACCTCTACTTGCGAATTCTTACTTGGATCTCTTTTAATCAGACTTACTTTATTGCTTGGATGAAAGTTTCCTGCATGAGCTGAGGATCAAACATTTCTTTAGATTTATCATCAGGCATGCTGCCAAGTACCCTCCATGCGAGTCTTTCAACAAATGCCTCAGCTTCAAAAGGCTTCTGCGGAAAAAAAATAGAGCAAATTCAGAGCATTAGGAGTGTCCATGATGAAGAACCCTAATTAAAACCTCTTTCCAGAATTACCAAGACCTACCATTTCTCTGATCAGATTCAGTAACTTAGATATTATTTAAAAATAGTTAAACATTCTTTTAATATTTCACAAAGAAATATTTTTCAGAATATAGTTTTTTGTGAGTTATTATTGATTTTACTGAATAAATGAATGAATACGTTTGGGGAGAATTACAGCTGACTATTGAGGAATTCCTTCTTTCAGAAATCATGACTACTTGTTTTTTTTTTTTTTTTACTACTTCAAAGTCCCATCCCCCCTCCGTCCCTACTGAACCAGTCCCAGGCAACCCTTGTTTGAGACCATCAAACTCGGGTCGCCTGGCCTGGAATCGAACCCGGGACCTCCCGATCATAGAGCAAGCGCTACAACCACTACACCATAGGAGGCCGACAAACTGTTGGCTGACATTCATCATGTTCATTGATTAAAGGTGTGTTGTCAAGGTAAACTTGTCCGATTCTGTTTGGTTCTTCTGTTTCTAAACGCAACCCAATGGTTGCCATCAACCTACAGGATTGTTGAGCGATCATACATAGACACATAAATCATCGGGTAATTCAAATGGAATCCAACAACGATGACCGTTCAGAATCAGGATGTTCTGTTTCCAAACGGTCTGAAACAATTTACTCTGACAACGCAACTTACTTAGAGCTTGCTCATCGTATGTTGAGACGTAAATCAATTATTGTTTGTGTCACCACTCATCAATGGTGGCATCTGATTGCATGTGAGTATTAAACTGTTGAGTGGTGCTGATTCAGACCTAATCAGGGATAAACATTTGTTTCCCTATAAGGTGCGCGAGCTCTAACCATGCTCAATCCATCAGACAGTTTTCAAAAGATCTACGGGGGCAGGTTCAGGGAGGCATATCGTGATATGCTATAATTCATATTAGACATGGCAACATTTCCTGCACTCATAAAAAGTGTAGCAGAGCATCCCAAAAAAGGGCTGTATTCAAATGACGATTGCTGTCGTAGTGGAGAATGCGAAGTTAAGAAAAGCAGTGCTTGAAACCACAGAGATGCGACTAAAATAATGGGTGCAGATTCGAACACACTGTTAATTACCTTTTCCATTTCTTTCATGTATTGTTGCATCATCTTGGCGGCTTTTGTTTGGTTCAATGTATTAGTGGATGAAGAGATAAGGCCTTAGTTCACACAGTCACCTCAATAATGGTGCGCATTTTAGACTAGCACGTAAAAAACTACGAGTGAGACTTTATATTTGAATTTTAAAAACCATGATAAACATTCTGAACGTAATGAAGAGACTGAGAAATTCTTGGAGTTGAAAACACAGGCAGAAACATACTTAATCAATTAAAATTATAAAAAGGGGGCGTCCCTGTTGACGTTTTGAAGTTTTGAGTTTGAGGTTATGTTTACACTATCGAATCGAAATCGAAAGAAAATATCGAACTCCCCCTCCTCCCCTCTAGATGAAAGGAGGGTGAGGGGTAAAGGATCAAAATTTTGAGGTTATCTTCATAGTTGTAATTTTGCAAAGGTAATTCTTACTTACTTTTTACCTTTTACGAATAAATATCACTTTAGTGGTTCGTAAGTTTTAATATTTTATCTCTAATTCTACTATTACTGATATTAATTAGTTACTGTGCTCCATAACGGGCATGAAATCTTGTCTGTAACCAAATCATTTTCACATGAGAATCCTGGCCTCACAACAGAATTCATCCCAGCAATTCGTTTCTTTTTCCATTACCACATTTTCAGGCTTTAGAAAAATTATCACGCATGCAACTCACAACTGGACAGCTCTGCTTTACATGGTCAGGTTGAGGAATACTGGCAGCTATTCACTGTCGAGAAAATTTGATTGCATTTTCAAGAAGCAAATTCGCAGCCCTCAACTCTGCATTGCATGCTAACAGCTATTCCTTTTATCAAAGGGATTTTAGTTGTTCCTAAGTAATAATTTGATTAATAATTTTTTTCACTTGTCTAAGGTTTGCTCACTCCTTCTGAAATTTGGCATTAGTACGGGCTTCGCTATCACCTAGCTTATCAGATGGTTCCTCTGAGCAAGTCAGAATATTCATTATATACTTTTTCATTGCACAATTTGGAGGCCTCTTGTGAGATCCAGTACACTAATCATCATATTCATGGGGTCTATTCTCCCAATAGAGGCACTTTTTTAGCAGGTTATCAGCCTAACATAGCAGTGAATCTAGATAGATTGTTGTGTCAACTCGCAACTAATTTTGACTGTCCTCTTGACTTTGCCTGCAGGTACAATCTCCTGAGTTAGCGCGATGTAATACCTTAGGATTGACGGAAGGAGAAAAATCTCTTGTTCCGTGTAAGCTCTTTTAGCTGATGCCTGAATATTTTGCGTCTGTTCATCTAATGATCATTCTCGAAAGATGGAGGCGGAGGTGCAGAAACTCCTAAGTGATCTTGAGTCGAACAATATCAATGTGTTCAATGATGCTAAAGCAAGGTTTCATGATCAGTTTAATTCTAGTAAGTTGTTTCTTCCATTTAATTTCTAATAACCTTATTATTATGTAATTTTTTTTTCTCTGTGTTTTTTTTTTTTTTGGAGGGCGGGGGCTCATGAAGGAAAAAGTCTTAAAAATTAAATAAGTACACTCGCCAGATGTTCACGTAGAGGTGTGTTGGATTCTTCCTTCAAGACAGACAAAGAAATATGAAGGAGTAAATATCCATTCTTGAAGAATTAGTAGTATGCACACAATTTGCTATCTGACAAAAAAATTTCTGCCCTAACGTAACTCTTCAACGCTACAGCGAAGAATAAGGGACTTTGGCAGCGGCAAGTATTGTTACAGGGGAGTGAGAGGACATCAAGCAATGAGCTAAGTCATGATTTGAATTTATTTCTGTTGAGTCTTACTTAGAAGAGTTTATTTTAAAGTCATTCGCTCTGGGTTTGATAAATTGATGCTCCAAAAAATAAAGTATTCATAGAAAACTACAGCTGTTTTAATTTCATGAAGGATACTACTTTTACTTTGCTGTGGTCAATAGCACCTTCAGCGTCTTCAATGAATTTCTCTCAATATTTTAAAGTGTCCCTCCATAATCTAAGTAGAGAGGGGGTGTGGGTTAGTGTTTCACAATTTTTAGAAGTGTAGTTCAACAATATGGAGCAGTGAAGGGGCAAAACCCCTTGAGTTGGATTTTTGTAGTTTTTTCCAATAGGAATAATTTTGCCTGCAAATAGGAATAGAGTGAAGAAAATCCAGGGATCCCAGATGTGGATGGATGACTTGTTTTGAATTCAGACTTCGCTGTCAGTATTCACATTGTAAACTTAGAAATCTATATTAAGTAATTTCAAGTGTTACATAAATTTAGCCCTTCCTATGTATTTCAGTGTTCCTGTTAAAATACATTTAAGTTATCAAATATTTTCAGGTAAAGACCCTTGGCTTGCTCATTTCATGGTTGACTATTGTCTGACAAACTCTCAAAGATGTGTAGAAATATTAGTCGGAGTTCCAGAACCTCACCACAAGTATTTGTTTGATAGGTAAGTTCATCAAAGAATGCTTTCCAGTGTCATTCATATTATTAGATTCTCTGTTTACCTGCAGATTGGTAACTTGATGAATCATTTGGAAGTGTTCAAAATTAAAAATTCTTCCATCCTAGATGTCATGATTGTTATATGTTATGTAGGAAATCGTTAATACTTTGTTTAGGTAGTCTTATGCTTTGATGAAAAAAGTACAAAAATATATCCTTGGTAGAATTGATTGTTAAATTTGGATTTGTAAAGAAAAACATGTACAAATTGTTAAATTGTACAAGGCAGGAAATTCTTTCAGGGGTATCATCCATATAATTTGAAATTTACATGAGAAAAAAGGTATGTAAAAACACAGCATCAAACTTTTGTGAAGTTCCAAAAATTGTTGATATTGATTTGAAACACAAAACAAAATGCAATGTATGCTACGCACAAAATGACACTATTAAACATGTGTGTAAAATTTTAGCCAACCGAACTTTCAATGAAGTTTTAAAGGAAGCCATAGGGTCATGTCCTCCACCCTCTCAGCAAGAACTATCCAGCTCTTTTTATATCAATTGCCAATGTGTGGAACCACGTATCTTAATTGAGGTGTCTCAAAATTTCCATTCTTATTTTATTTTTTGGAAGTGAAGCAAGCCAACTTTGTAACTTGAAATTTATAAAATTTATACAGAACATTTTGCCAGTAGAGAGGAAAAATCAAGGAAGTTTTCAAGAAATAATATTGACTACTTAGTATTGTAAAAAAAAAAATTAAAGTATAACAGAAAGTCTGCAACGTTGCGAACGGAGGTATATGGTTTTGCACTTTGGCCTTGGATATCTCACAAAATTTTTCACCCTCCATAAAGTACCTATTAATTACCCTATTTTTTTGGAATTGATTTTAAATGATTGATTCCTTATTTTTCTGTGGTGGTTTTACAGACTGGGAGAGCACATTCGAGGATCTTCAAAAGTCCAAGCCCTCACTCTTTTAGGTCATGTAGTCAAGCGGCAGCCATCGTGGCTCTTTAAAATAGTAAACCATCAGTTAATGAAGGACGTGTTGAAACTCTTGAAGGTGCCAAAGGTCATTTTTCTTTAATCAATATTACTAGCTAATAGCGCATAGCAGGACATTCTAAAAGTCCTGTATAAATGAGTCATCTAGCTTTAACAATTCTGATACATCAAAACTATCCTTCATTTCGAGCCATATTTGCTGAGAGAAAGTATCTGTGTTATTTCATTCCGGTTAAAGATCTACGTTCTTTGTTGCTTGCATTTCATGTAACGTTTGCAATGACTCATTTGCATCAAATTATATCTATTTTGTAGAAACTATATCACCTACCACTCAAAAGAGGCAAAACCCGCAACCCACACTGAGTTACGGCATAGAATAATAAAGCTAACGCCTATAGAAGGGACACTCGCGTAAGCGGCCGTTGTGACTCGCCTGCTGTGTCCAGGTTTGGTTAGGTCTCGTTGCCCTATACTTTTCTGAACCCGCCAGCTCTTTGCAAGGTTGTCAAATGTAATAGTAGGGCCCAGCTAATTGCAGGGTTGCCAAATGTAATCAGTGGTGCCAAAGGAGAGTCTAATGTTTTGCAAGTGTAAAAGTCACTGCCACAGAGTAAAAGAGTTTAAGTATCAAAATTTATGTAACGAAAACGATTTCCACAGCCTCGTCGTGCTCATGCTGGCCAGATGACTGATAAAATCACATGTGATCAGCTACAGTTAGAGTGTTACAGTTGGCTATTGCCGCCATTTTCATTTCTGAATGTAAACAATACCCGCCAGCTCCAGCTCAAGAGCTCCAGGTCCCTGTTCTTCTTCTTCGTCACGAAATCTGCGAGAGTGTCCTTTCTATAGGCGTAGCCTTATTATTCTATGGTTACGGAACGAGTTTCAGATTTTGTTCTTACCATCATCATAAATTTTAAGTAGTTCCTTGGGAGGAGTTGGTAACATTGCATGGTGGCAACGATCACGGTGTCTACAAACCAAAAATCTGATCATGGAGTCAACGATTGTCACCATGCTATGTAATTGAGTTGGTAACATAGCATGGTGGCAACGATCATAGTGTCAACAAACCAAAAATCTGATCATGGATTTAACGATTGTTGACGTCTCGCTCAGGCAGTTGAATGCAAAAATGGGCCCTGAGCATGGTGTCAACGATCACGGTGTCAACAGAAAAATATCTTCCTTATGAGTAAAATTAAAAAATTAAGTTTACAGGAGAGGTTTGGGTCACGTATAGTTAGATTAGGTTAATTTAGGTCAGGACATGTACGGTTAGATCAGGTAGGTAAGGTTAAAGTTAAGTAGGGTAAGATCAGGGAAAACTAAATTCTGTGAAAGTGGGTTAGGTCTTTTAAGGTAAATTTGGGTAATGTTAGATAAAGTTTGATAAGGTTAGGTCAGGTTAGAGTAAATAACACAAGAAAAACAAGACTTGAATTTTGAAAGATTTCACAGAGGGAAGTTTTAAGTTTCGTTGACGCCGTATTCGTTGACACCGTGATCATCTTTCACAAGAGTCAGGAATTTTTATTTTTGGATGATCAGGGTGTCAACAAAAACTTAGAAAAACTGTTTGTTGACATCATGATTTGTAATCGAGGAGTTGACCTTCTTTCAGCTCTAGCATAAGTTTACAATAACCTGATCTATGGCCGTTTTTTGGATGGTCAATTCTGAAAAAATCAGAAAGCTCTGTAGAGCCATTCATAAAAAATCCATTGCTGAAAATCATATTTTTTAACACCAATCTGAATGTTTTTGCTTTTGACGATATCTGTCCTTGTCAGAGTTAAAAGTGTGTACTGGGTGAGGAAAAAAATGAGGAAAAGGCAATGAAAACGAAAGGATTTTAGGAAATACCCGAGAAAGGCAAGTTTTAGGGAATATGGAAAAAGCAGAGAAAAATCATGAGACAGCAAAGATTTTAGATGACTAAGCACCAGTAAACAGGGTGGCTAGCGACCTAGAAAAGTCAAGGAATGCAACTTAACTGGGAAAAATCAGGAAAAAGTAAAGGAACTTCGTCAAAGGTCAGGGATTTTTTGCGGAGTCGGGCTGCACGTAAAAATCAGGTCTGCGATGAGCCAGCTGATCGCGTTGTTGTGCCAACTGCGTGGCGCTCACAAAAAGAAAAAGTCAGGAAAATTTACTAAAAGTCATGGAATGATAAAATGAAATTTTGCTAGCCACCTTGAGTAGATACCTTAGTATCAAGCTTTTTGTAAAACGATATCTATTGAATAATAAAAGAATCTGAAATCTTATCTCCAAAAACTTTGATTATCTTGTAAGCAGCAATGGGTACCATCCAAAAAAATGGCATTTTGCAAATTTCTTTTACGCATCAAAGTTCAATCATAATCACGTCAGGGTATTACCCTCTATTTTATTTCTCATTTTAGGTGGAGACAGATTTTGTATCGGTGATGAGCGCACTTTTAGTCATCATCATTCTTCTCCCCATGATTCCTGCTTACATAAAGCCCCACCTTGATGATGTTTTTGAGGTGTTTAGGTGAGTTTTCTGCACCAATACTTTACGATTTTTCCGGGAATTAAATGCAGTATAAATTTTGTCTTTTCAATGGTTTGTGTAAAGCTGGAGCTATTAAACTCAAATTTTTCCGTAGGTACCCATGCCTTTTTAAAGACTGGCGTGATGACTCAGAAAGTGGGACCTTGGCCAACCTATCGGAAGAAGTTAGAGGTGAACCAAGAGGTATTCTGCCGTGCTAAGGAAAAACGCTGTATGAACCTTCAGGCATTGCCAAATTTCCTCGGGAAAATCACTAATTTTCAGGAAATTTTTAAATATTTTTTTGCCAATTTCTCAGATCATTTTGTTTCGTAATTTGAACTAAAGTGTCTGAAAATTTCAAGGAAAAATATTCATAATTTTCCTCAAAAATAAACTTTATATCCAAGGAAATTTGGCAACTCTCGAATGTTCATGCGACGTTCTTCCTTAGCAAGGCAGTATAGGAGAGGAGGAGAGACTCCTCACAATGAGCAGCGCCATTGATATCCTGAAGGCCCCAAATACCTGAATGATCGAAAGCTTTCCATTTGTTTGTGTAATATCTCAATGGTTATTTGAATGGGGACCATATGGCAGATTTTGGTGAATGTAATCAATGTATGAAAATTTATCTCAATATCAATGAAACTAAATTTTTCCAATAGAATTCCTTTTCTTCCCTCTGTTGCGCTGTTCACTGATCTTTTCCTTTTTCTTAATCCTCCATTTAATTTTCGTATCCTGTTTTTTCCAGCCGACTTGCTTCCTGGAACACAGCAAATCCTTCAAAATTGTCTGCCAGCCATTTGCTTCATTTGCAAGTCACTTTATATGCTCTTTTCCACCGACTATATGGAATGTTTCCATGCAATTTTCTCTACTATTTGAGACAGGTCTACTCAAGTCATGAGAACCTACCTGTCTTCGTCCATACGATCAAGGTATACATTGCTGTTTGCATTTCCCTTTCAAGTTTAAAAAAAAAATCATATGATTTTTGCTCTATGTACTTCATTAAAACCACTCTAAAATATATCCATAGTACTTAAATTATTTTATGCTTCCTGCTTCTACATACTACCAATTCTGAGGTCTCAAACTTTTGTTTCTGCTTGCCTTAAGGATTGTGACCATATTATTTCAAAGAGACGAATACATAAGGTACGAATTTAAGCATTCTGATGTATGTCTCTCCTCAAAATTTTCGTGCTGCAGAATACAATTTTTGTACTAAAAATTACTGTAATCAACTCCCAGCCAAGATATTACCGTTTCTATTCAGCATTGGTCACGAAAAATTTAAATTTCCTGCTCACATGAAAAACCAGAGTCTACTTCAATCAAATTGTGCACCGCAACGTTTGTAGCACGCTTCTGAATCGAGCAGTCTTCCTTTCCAACACTGTGTTATTCAAAGTGCAAACAACATGCAATAGCTGAGCTGAAGCGCTCATATTGAATTTGTCATATTTTCATCCTGCAACGACTGCTATGGTAATGTTTAGTGTGCATTTAACGCAAGTAGATTATGGTTTTTTAAAGCAGGAAGTTAGAATTTATGCATCAAAAAACGTTAATATTTCTGTTAGAAGTCACTTCCAGTAATTTTCATCGCATGAATCGTTTTCTAAGTACATGAAATTTTGATGAGAAAACATTTAACTTTAAGCTCAAATTCGCATATTTTCTAGTGGTCCATTGTTGCAGGTATACAATTTGGAAGATCTTTCCTTTCAAGACTTTTTCTCTTTATAATAGGATTTTTTTTTAAATGGAGAGGATATTGCAAAAATGTTTAACGCTATGCTCTGTAAAGAGGCATAACTGGGTTAACAATTTGTCATGCACTAACTGTGCAGATTAAATAGCATAGGTCTATTGGTGAGGTTTTTGCACCAATCTGGTCCAAAATGATCCAATTCCAATCTCGTACCAATCATGCGGCCAATGTGGTCTAAAATAGTATCGTATGCCTGATCTCGAGTTCTAAGGAAGATCTTTCTTTTTATTACATTTTTTTCAGCCTATGCTTGGGACTGTGCGAATGCATCCATTGCTGGTCACTGCATCCAAGGATTCTGAAACTGCAACCGCAAGGTATGTGTTTTGGATGAATTGCTAGGTAGGGCCTAGAATGGGCCAGTTGCGCCGGTCTCAAAATCGTATTTTGATGCTTGAATCTTGAAGATCAGCTAAAAATAATAAGATCTGTCCAAACAGCATCTTTCTACGTTTATTATTAACTGAGATAAATTGAAAAAAATTCGGATTATGACATCATCCACTGCGGTAGTGACACCCTTGGTTTCTTCCACCTTTCTTTCATCAGTTGGTGTGACGCAAGTTAGCACTGGTTATACAACGTAAAACTCGGATGTAAGTAAGATGGAAGAAACAAAGGGTGTCATTATGTATTCTGGATGAGTCAAAGACCAGATTTTTCAAAGGGCAACGTCTTGACTACAATATTGAACGTAGAAAGTTGCTGTTCAGACAGATCTTATTATTTTTAGCTAATCTATCAAAATCTAGCATCAAAACACGATTCTGTGATCAGCGCAACTGACCTAACCAAGTACTTTAACTGTTTCCTTAGTAAACTTGTTGATTAAACCATTTAAGCTCAAAATTGGCTTATAAGTGAGAAATCAGTGTTCTTAGATCACATTTAAATCTGTAAATTAAAACTTCCCACTTGTGAAAAAAAAACCCAAGTCAGTGGCCACATCGTCACCTTCCAGGCAAAGTATCACAAGCGCCATGCGACGTTTAAATATTTCCACCGCCATTTTATTTTTTTACTGAGAAATTGTTGGTTGAATCTGTTCGAAAATTTCACTAAATTTTATCGGCAGCACAAAGAAAATTCGGTGTAATTTTCGGACAGCTTCGTTGAACAATTTTTCTGTAAAAAAATATAATGGCGGCGGAAATTTTTAAACGTCGCATGGCGCTTGTGATACTTTGCCTGGAAGGTGACGATATGCAAATCATGGCCATCAGGAGGAGTGTAGAAACTGCACTAATGCCTAACCGATTTTTTGCAGTTTGTTTGTTTGAAAAATGTGAAGACAATAAGTTATTTGTCAGTCTATTCATTCAAATCAGTTTTGCATGAATCTGCTTGAGTTTGTGCAAATTGAGCTATTTTATGTGAGGAAAAGAGTGAAAGGCTTGCTTTTACTGTGGCAGCGCCTATAATGACTCAAGAAATTTAGAAATATGTGATACAAACTGCATATGCAAGATGTGCATTAAAAGAGTGCATTTTAATATTCTCTGATAAGCCCGATGTGATTTTCCTGCGCAGTTACTGGTTCTAAGTTAATTATGTAATGCAATTATGTTATCATATATGGACAACAGACCCATTAGTTTTTTTAAGTGACTCGTTATTTGGTGATTGTTTTTCTCCCTTTCCCCTGTTTAAAAGAAAGAAAAAAAAAAAGGAAAAAAAAAACCGCACCCATTTGACATATTAATTAGTTCAGTGATTCATTTTGAAAATTCTGTATTGTTAACAAAGATGGAAGAAAATGGAACACCATGACGTCATAGTCGAATGTGCCAAGTATGCTCTAGACCATGGAGAACGGCAGTTTCAAGAGCCTCTTCCTTACCATCAGGGAATGATATCAAACCTCAGCTTGACAGGTAAATTTTCAAAAATATTTTTCAATCTTTCTTTGTTCATTTTCAATCCTTCATATTTCTGCAATCTCTTTTTCTCAAAGAGCCAATCTGTTTTGTGAGGAGGACGATAAAAATGTTTACAATTTTTTTCTTTAAAAAAGTCGTGACATTGGAGGCCTGCAACCCAGAATATATGCTGTCACTTTACACAAAGTGGACTTGCAGCAAAATGAAATAAACTCAGTTCTTTGAGTAGAGTTTATTCAATTTATGAGTTTGTCAACAGCGCCAGTAATTGTAACAACAAGCAACAAATACAGAAGGTGGTGGCAGTTCTTACTGAAATTATGTATGTCAACAAGATGTCAGACTGGGCCACAACTGTGACCCGAGAAAATCATTAAAGCTGTTGAACTCAGCAAGTCTTGTGATTTTTTAGTCGTGCGGCGAAGCCGTATAGACTCTAGGTTTCGCCGGAGGCTAAAAAGTGTCCACACTTTTAGGCTAAGTCCAAGAGGAGAATTTTCGAGGAACCAAGTAACATATGAGGTATTGATATCGGTGCATTTTGGCCTAATGGAGATGTTACATGTGCGAGGA